GACGAAAACACGAGAGACTAGCTCAAAACCTTTATATACATGCAATTCTAAGATAAATACGTTTCAAAACAGCAAGTAAAAAAACTTGATTCATATGCGTATAGCATACTTCAAGGAGTACGTTGGAGAAGGTCAATGTAGCGGCAAAGAAGGTATCGGCAATAAACGCCGTTTCGGAGTTCTATAAAGTATAGAAAAATCTGTTCGAATTACGAACTTGCAGCTAATACTAATCATCTATATAACAAACAACTCTTTCGAGTTGTACATCTCCTACTGTCTCCGAGCATTGCAAAGGCAGTACCCTACGAAATTTAACTTATCCTGCTAGACTCAGTCGCTCGTCAACAATAATCTGCATACGTGCACCTACATCTTGGATGAACACCGCACACCGAGCAGATACACAAGCATCTGTTTTAAATCTTGAAATAAATACAAATTTTTTCAGAATCGTTCTTTTACAACACCAATATTCGCTAAAATCAATTGCACAAAGGGACACTTAGCACACATCCCATAACCACCGAGCTAGAGTTAAGCTACATTGGGTACCGTTGGACCGGCCGAGAACTCTTTTCCTTCCATGAACGAATACAGTGTCCTATTAAGGTAACAAGTGGTATGCTGCTAGACAAGGACGCCAGTACGGGACACTTTTATGAGTGACTATAAACATGTTCCCTCGAACTAACGACCAGATCTATGGCGGTCGTTGCAGCAGGTCACTTCCTAATCCAGTGGTGCGATCCAGGTCCAGGCCCTGGTTGCTGTCAGCCACATCTTTTGCACAGTTCCTACTTACTGAGAAGGCTGTCCAATGTCGCTTGTTCAACGTTATTAACTTTGTTAGAGCCTTCGGGTTACATGTTTTCACCACTATTCGCTCCGTCGAGGCTAATCTACCACTGTATAGTTGGTGCTATAAGCCATTTCTTTAGTCGGTTTCGTGAGCAGTAAGAAGCTTCAACTGCCGCTACTCGATGCGCTGTACCATCGCACAAAGAGGCGTAATCGGTGTTACTGCTAACAAGACAATTATAGGGGTAAAGTTTTAAAAATTTTGATTTTAAGAGAAGACAAGCTCATTTAGGTGCCTAAGGTCGCTTGCAGTTCTTTTGCTGAACGCGTAATGACACCCAGAACAAACTAAAATGATATTACTTACATTTTATCTTATCATACATAGACGACATCAACCTCCTGAGTTCCTATACCCTGGTAGTTCTTCAGCCAATAGCAGTATAAACGGCGTCTTGCCCAGAGTCTTGCTGGTGGAAGAATCACTCGAGGCAACAGATTGCGGTCCCACTACGTAGTTAGACCAATCCGTGTTCATCCCACACAGAGCAGTTTGCCAGAGCATTGTCCATAAGTGACGAAATAGCTGTAAATGTAGTCAATGCTGTTTCATCCGAGATTGTCCGTCACGTCCATTATGTGAAACAGGACGCTTTGCCAATGACCACATTTTCGAAACGTTCGAAGAAGCACTACAACAACAGAACAGACGAACGAAAAGAACAGTCAAACATAAAAATAAAAACGAAACTTCTTCTGTGTTCGGTGTTAGCAGCAGGCCCATAAGGTTATGAGCTTACCTTCTTAAAGGAGCATTTCGGTGCAGACACTTATGTAAAGCGTATTGTATCTGCCTCCCGAAATCCCGCTCTTGTAAACCTCAAACCTGGTTACCTTTTTGCGGATCCGCGACCCAAGCCCGTTCCCGTTAAAAACGTCTCCCAACGCATTGCAGCGTTTCTGGGTGCGAGTCTTTCGTCCGTACTTTCTGCACCTACTTTAGCTCGAAATCGCAGTACCTCACCATCACAACGATCAGTCGTGACAAAGTGTGCACGTTGCGTATGGGCCATCTCAGAGTAGCGTTCCTGTACGGTCCGGACTTAGAAAGCCACTTCTGGGCACAAGTGTAGTTTACCCTAACGGTTTTGGGCATAATCAGCGTTGTGGTCGATGGAGACGTTTTTCGGTGTTGATAAGCTTGCAATGAATCAAGTCCTGGAAAGTCATTCTTTTAAATAAACTTTTAATTGGTTAAGAGGAACGGCTTATCCTACTCACGACATAACTTACAATATGTGTACAGGGTACGGGATCTAAAATGGGCGCTTTCTCTTGTTTGATTTCTAGGACCGTATTTAAATAAAACAGATATTTAGCGGTTTTTTTTTTTAAGATGAGCTAAAAGTGTCATTATTGACGGCCATGTTTATTTGATGCAACGATTTTTCAGCTCGATTACAGCTCCAGTTCGGCTTCTAAATCGTTCACAGACTTGTTTCAAATGTTCCCTTCGCAGTTCTACGAGCGCCTTCTTGAAATGCGCAAGTAAGCAAGTTGGCATTTTCGTATGGAGAGTGCTTAAATTCTTGCCTGATAAGGCTCTATACATGCACAGCAATCCACCTCCTTTCAAATTTGAATTGTTCGATGGTCCTATCTGGCCGTCCCAGAGCATGGTCGTATTCTCAATCACCCAACCTGGGATGAATCGGCTTGCTATGAACCGGTGCACCGTCTTGTGGGAAAATGTATGATGTTCCTTTGAACGCACCAGCGACCCACAGCTGTAGAACCTTCCTTCACTGTATATCCCACTCAGAGTATGAATTTTGGCGGAACATTTGTTGATCCCCACAATTGGCGCTTTCTTTGTACTATGAGCCCGCCAACAATCTTTTCTGCAGTCGAAACTTCGCGTCGAAAAAAAAAGGTTCCTTCTCAGAGAAAGATCTAAAATGATGTGCTGCTAATTCATCTTTGACAGAACTAAGTAGCAAGCAAAACCAATTAAGTCTCTTGATTTTATTGTCCTTAGATATAACTTGTATGTCTGTTATGGCTTAGAACGCGTACCCTGACGTCTTCGTAAACAACCCGTGATACCGTACGCTTACTCAGAGCAAATTTATCCACTAACGCACTGATCGAACTAGAAAGGTCATTAGAAATGCACTTTTGAACAGCAACGGTTAACTTTGGAGTCTGCAGTGCTCTTTTTCCGTGCTGTGCTGGAACTGTTTTTGTCTATTCTTCAGCCTTATACTTATTTGCGACGCGGTACATTGTCGATCTAGGGTGGCACAAGTCTGTAGTCTCAATGGGAGTTCGCATAGTACGTACACATTGGACAATAGCTGACCTTCGCTCAAATTTTGAAATTGACGCATCCTTATTCGCAATGATGAGTCTTTTCTTTTGTTGTAGAAAGTACTGGTTTCTGTCTGCTGCAAAGAACATGGGATGAACGTATGCCCGTTAGAGTAAACATCCTCCCACAGTTTGTCCTAATTTAGGTGCCGTACCCTGTGCCTAATGCACCTCACGTATTATTTTTCTAGTTTGATAACACCATGGAGAAAACGATATGACTATATCGCGTTAGAAGTACCCAAACTATAACCTTTCGTATTCTCTTAATGAAGGACGGGTGAAAAGATAATCCTTGTTTTAGATGGAGTAGAAAATACCAGTAAAGTATTACACCCAATATCGCTATTTTGCCACGATGTCGGAGACACGTGACGCAATACGTTTCGTCGTTTGTTACAATTTTTAGCGATTGCTGTTTCTTTAAGTGGAAAAATTTAATTGACATAAAAAGTTTGCAAAGTGTAACTCCAAATAAACTCCGTCGCTCAAAGAAACTTATAACAATTAGTTAATGATTACAAGTCATAGCGTGTTCATTGAATACCGTGACGTATGCATAAGTTGAGTAACTATATGCTGATAGTATATTTCGAGCTGGTCCACGTCGAAGGGAAAAGTGCCGTCGTCTAGAGTGTTACCAGATTGCTCTGCTGTACGAAAACCAGATACGTTAATTCGTTTAGGGAGAGCGCCGTTTATATCCTATATATAAACGTCTGTGACAAAACTAAAAAAAAAAATGGTGCTTTTTACTGCACATTTTTTTCAGATAGTTAAATCAGTAAAAAGTAAAAGGAAACTTTATGGAAGACCTCTTTTGTACGTCAGAATTAAAGGAGTAGATACAACCCGTCGTTTCAAAATGTGTATCTATTTGTTATTAACTAATTTTTTGCCAAACTTGCATTAGCTGGATCGCAGCAAAAAGATTCGCATTTACAGATACTAAAAATGCCTGTCTTGTAGTATATTCACTGTTAAACAGGGCAGGACCTGGTAGATCGTTGTCTTATTTTAGGGTGAAAATGCAATGTCCATATGAAATACTGGTGGCCCACATATACCCTGAGAGCTATGGTAAATGTATTTAGTTGATGCTAAATCTAATTGAAAAGTGTCCATGTATCTTATGACCTCGTCACTTTAGTGTAACGGCTAAACGGGCTACGTATTTGGGTGGCAGCCATTTACGCCTAGGGCAAATTGGTACAACTTTCGACAGAACCGATAAACTATGTAAAAGCATACTGGGCAGAGGCCACGTTTGTAGAAAGTAAAAAGCCCGTTTGCGACCTATAATAGCTTCTCCATGTTAGCAAAGCTTCGTAGAACGCGATGACTAGAACCTGACTAGCTGATGTACTGGCACCTTTTCCAATAGCTCAAAATAATGAATCTAAGATACCTTTTATCGAATAATATTGGCTTGTATCAAGACTTGCTTTGAAACAGGCGATTGTTCATTGCCAGGACAAAGTGAACTCCTAATAGCAGCAATTTAATGGTGTCCCGTCGTCTTTTTCTAAAATTATGATACCGATCACTCAACCGTAGATGGATTTATTTATTGAAATTTATTTTTCCAGTTTTATGTAATCATGCTGCTCTATAGACTTCGACGCAGTTAGCTTTGCCATATTATGCAAGTATCTTTCGAGTATATCAAAATCGCAAATAGGTCATGCTACTATGGGTATTTAGTTGTCATTCGAGGCATAGGATATATAATACAATGCCACCATCGATTCTGTTCGAACGATTTTCAAGCTGTTCTTTGCAACATTGGAGTAATATTGAACGATGCTCCTTTGTTGTTCAATGGTCTATGTCAAATCGATGAGTCCCACTTCGGTCCTTTTTCCAATTTACGATTTATCTAATGGCAGGTCAAATGTTGCTGGAAGTGATTACGTCACATACACTACGGGTGATAATGCTCGTACCGTATAAAATTAATATGTGATTTGCTATAGTACTGTATACTTCGTCCAACTGACCGCGAACGAGAATTTAACGTATCATATATAAATCGTATCGTAAAGACAATTTTCAAAATGGCGCTACGCTGGACACTCTTTTTTTGCATAGACTACATGAATGGCCCACACATAGGCCGACAAGCAGACTATGTAATAATTTTGATTTTTTTTACATCATTCACAGATATATATATATATATATATATATATATATATATATATATGGAAATAGTGGAATGTTGAAATAAAATGAAGGAACGCTATGCAGAACAATCAAAGTGATTGATATGGATATGTGCTGCTTCGGTAGTATTTGGAAATTGTATGCTTATTGTATATTGCAACAGTTGCAACATTTCAACAGAGATAAACTCGTCGAAAAGCGTGAGGCCATTGAAGCCTGGTAAAGTAGACCTCGCGTTCTGATAAAGTTCAAAAGATACTTCCTTTTCAGATGTGGTTCGTTTGCTAATATCAAGCTCAGTAGTTCGCTAGTTGTTAATGATCGCTTGAATCGAATACTGAGCACGTAGGAAATGACTACTTATAATTAGACTGTTCTGATAAAACTTAAATATCCTTAATTTTAGAAAGGTGTCGACTCAAAGCAAATTTGTGGCAAAATAAGTTCGTGTGATCTAAAGAAGTTTACCATATGGTTTTTTCCGACTGCTTGAAATATGATTAAGAAATTTTTCATGGAATACGGGTTTCAACTGACCGACATTGAAACTTACACAAATCTAGCCCTGACGACAAAGAGTTTGTGTGATGAGTCTAAATATCTGTGAGTCACCGACATCAACTTAGAAAAAAGGTCGTTGGATGTGTGGCCGCTTCTAGTCGATCAGGCTGTTAACGGTATAATGCGACGCATGCGGGCCTGATATTGTGCCTTTTTGTGAGTTGTCGCCTATTTTACATCAGATTGGTGTTCACTAATCTGATTATCTAGTCTTGTAATCGGTTTAAGTTAGCCGCTAGTAAACTTCTTCTAGGTTATGTCAGTTTCAGTTGGAAATATTTATCTTCGCATTATAGCATATCAGTGTAATGTGGGAATTTCTCTGAGGGCCACTTCGTTTATCACTTGCAGAAGTGTTCAACCTTCTTGACTCGACAGGTTTCGCACTTAACCTCACAGCACCACACAAACTTGCAGTTACATTTCTCATCAACTTCTCGTACGATGGTCACGTAGCCCCGTCCGCAACACAGCAGACGGCATCCGTCAAGTCCGTAGCTTGAGGCGTTACAAGCTCGTCCGCTAGTGCCATACACGCCTAGCCTGGAAGAAAGGAATGAGCATGATGAAAAGAATTGCTTGATAAATTTTCGTTCATTTCACAAGTTTCGATTCGTTGTTAGAGATCATTGTTGCAACCAGGCTTGAATGTATCGACAACCATAAAAAACTATAGCGAAAGAAGACCTCAGTCTGTTTTATGATGTTTGCCACGGTCTCACGAGTAATACAACTAGAAATTAAAAAACCTTAACGAAAAAACGAAAAGGGCCATATGTTGGTTTTTCAGTGCAAGCCTATTCAATCGCATTAATTATTTAGCTTTTTTTTTTAAATCATAAGTTCTCTGACGTTACGGAACATGCTTTGTAACAATGACAAAATAGGACCAGTCATTAGGAATGCCGTTTCCGGCAGATGCACTATATTACACTGGGATATTATGCATACAATTTTTATTCAGTATACAAACTATCAGTAATACTTACAGAGTTCTCTGCGATACTGGCATAACTGGGTATACCGCCCACCAACCCCATGATTATGATATAGTTTTCGCACTCAAGGGTTTTTATTATGACAAAAAAGTTGACAGCTTTCTATCTTGCTGGCCATATAGTACGCAGTTTATATGAGAAGCTGTGGAGGTTATAAAAGTTTAGAAAAAAAAAAAAAAAGATTGGCCCAATTGCGGACTCATTAGAAGCACTGAAGCACATTGCTTTCATCTGCAATCTTACCATTAGCATTATACTGGTTTCTAAATCTGTTTTCGTCGTTTTCTGCAGCTGCTAAATATTTAAATAGACTTGTATTATAGTAAAGAATGCGGCTCTCTTAATGTACATTATAACTGTTCTAGCAATGAGGAATGTAAAGCTTTGCCATTTGCAGGCCAAATCATTTTTTTTTACTATTGCATAATGTTTTTGAAACAATGTCAAATCTATGATTCTTATAAACTTCACTAAAGCCAATCATAGTTCTTTCTGATTATGCGAATCGACTTAGTCATGTATGCCATTTGAACAATTGAAGCCCATATAATATACTTTTCAACCCCTAAGATGATAATTTATATTTCTTCCGGACTAAGGTAGACCCAGAAAGTCACCACAACAGGCCAGAAATACCAATCAGCAAAGAACACAGCATCCACTCTGTGGGCCCCTCCCCCATACTTTTACTATGCATTAATTTTGTTAGTTCAGTAAAATTCGGTAGAACAAATTTAAATCTTTCTATGACTGGATCAGAAGCTGGTATAAACCACTTGTCTCTACCAGCCCTGTTTTTGGAACAACGACATTTATCCCAATGAAATTCGCTGACTTCGACTAAAAATGTCAATAAAAAGTACTCAGTCCTTTAGTAAGGCTTCACAAGCCGTTTTTCTCAAAATGTACGAACATTTATTTCAGGCAATTTATATAGAATGCATGTCTCTCTCGTCTGCAACTGGTTTGCAACAGCAATCAATGAGTATCAGACCTCGTCATAGCTAAACTAAGTTCTTAGATATCATATACTGTCACTATTTTATGTCTATGTATTCAGCGTGGCTTATTCTGCAAAAGCAAGCGTTAGATTCTACAGTAGTCTTTCATGCGATTAGATTTAATCTGAAAGGGTCAGAACACGATCGTATTTTCACTTGGTAACGTAACATAATCGGGTAATCTGGAAAGCGAGCAGTTTGATCTAAACACTTCAGACACTGTAAACACATTTTTAAACACTGTAATACCTTTAATATTACCGTGTTTAAAAAAATAATTATAAATAGAAAAAGAATCAAATATATAGACGACTATTGGTGAGTTAGTTCAAGGAAATGGGAGAGCCACTCAATTTTTAAAAGCCTAATGTAAAAGCAAAATTAAAATGACGTTTCTTTTAAAGCAGTAGTATTATGTAAAAACACTTTTTGGACGTTTTACATTACAACACTATTATATGTAAAATTGTTGCCTTTTTTAATGAGAGAACCGTAGGTGAACTGTATTTTCACATACTAACACTCTACGCTAATTTATCATGACACTGTGATACATACTATACATTTTGTATGAATAAAAAAAAAAGTGAAAGTACTATCGCATTGCAATTGGTCGTCATTGAACAAATAAATGTGTCATCTAATAATGGTCTTAAAATGGCTCAAAATGATCGCCTACGTATTGGATACCTAGGACAAACATAAACATATATCAATATGCGTACTATGAAATATAAAAGTGCGCACATCTACATACACAGTAGTATGCCACTAACTATGTAATAATGTTAAGACCCATATTACTAGAGCTGGCCTGATCAGTACACTCCTATCGATCTCACAAGCCGTTGATGCTTCCTTAAATAATGGTATCACTCTACAAGTGAATAACGGTGCTACGTAATCATTATTATCCTTCATATGGCATCATCAGAGAATGATGGCTATGAAATGTACGAGGATTAGCAACTAACGTTTCATTCTTTTGGCAGTAGTCCGGGCTATCGTCGATGTAGACGAGATCCTTTTTGCCAGGCCGTTTCACTTCGCGCATTACTGGCTTCAGTTTTGCCCTGCCTCGACTCAGTGAAGCTTGCACCTGAGTTGCCCCATCATAACGCTGCATCAGCTCTTCCCCTATGGCTCTGAAATTTTTTAGAATGAAAAAACAACGCGCTAATGCTTTTACTTTTCTTACACCTGCAAGATACGACAAGCGAGATTTGTCAACAAATTCAAATTGGATTTGAATTATTTCATTTTATATCAAAAAAGAAGCAATAGCAAATATATATATATCAAATAATTCCATGGTTTTGGCACCACCTCTAAGCCACAGAATCTCATATTTTTCATACATCAAAGAGACGTGTCGAAATGTTCCTTAAAAGATTTACTGGAAAGCGAAAAACCAATTATCCCAGCCACGGCAACCGTAAAACATTTCAATATTTCTCTAATTACTTTGCTATACCGACGTTCGTTTTGCTTGCGTAATAAAAATGTACTTTGGCATATATCTTTTGCGTTTTGTGTTGAGCCAATTCAACTGCTTTATACAATTGACTCTAAAACAACCCTTTGTAGACTGCCGGAGCTTATACAGGGAGCACCATTGGAGTACTCAGTTGTCTCACTCCGTTAGTCTCGTTAACATGTGAGAATTCAAGTAAATAAAGCGCTATCGTGCCATCTTCAAGATTCAAATATATCTAATTTAGTAACATTTTAATCCAATACTAAATACTGGATATTAATAAATAAATAAAATAAAAGATCATTATTACAGTTTATAGGCGTATTTACCGAAACTCCTTGAGACGCCTCCAGCACACCTGCAGTGAGCAAGAGCCTGAGACACCGTGACATTTGCAGGCTAATTCCAGATTATTACGGAGAGCCTAAAATACACGTGATCCATAATGACTGATTTTAGATACCACTTTAATAGATTAATTTCAACACTTCATACTGGCAGAAAATTTTGCTTTACTACTTTCTAGGCCGTAAAATTAACGACACATTATTTCTGTGAATCTATTCAAAGAAAAAGTATGAAATCAAGTAAGAGTCCACCGCACTCTTTCGAAAAAGTCGTGAAGATACGAATCAAAGTAACTACTGCCCCTTTATAGTACAACAAAAATATTACTCCTCCGACATGATGCATAAATAAACATTTGTGGAAACATCGTAGCCACCCAAAGCCAATATGACTTACTTTTCGGCCTGCCTCGTTATTATGAAGATTCATGAGACCTTGTGCGCTGCCTGTATCTTCTCCTACGTCCACAAAATCCCTATGATAATAATTTTTTTCATTATATACATATTCACATAGATAACAAACGAGAAAAAAGATATGTTAAAGGTATCATATCACGTTCTTGAATTGGAAAGGTAAGTTTTCAAAATTAGTGTCCGAAGACACTATATTTTTACTTATGCAGTCGTGTGTCATTAGAACATCACGTGATTTTCGCTATATTTATTCATTTAAAATCAACAAAAGCACCATATTTATTTAATAAACGGAATATGTGTTTTATTGAGCAACATAGAATCCGTTGCTTTGTTACTAAATTTTTCTACCTTTTACTATATTTCTGCTTAATTTAACTTATTATAATTTGAAAAAATGTTTACCTAATAAAAGCATACAGAAATATATATATATGTTTAATAACAATAACGTATATGATATAATAACAATGACATACATCGGTACCGTTGTTTTAAACTAAAAACATTCAAATTAACTACAGATAAAGCGCTTATTGTGTTTATGGAAAATCAAACAAAAATAAAGAATCCATCATTATCGAATTTAGAAGATGAACAGCATTAGTCAACTAAGCAGCATTTATTACTTAATAATGCATCATTTATTGTGCCGCTATGGTAGCTTTTATATACAAACTGCATATGAAGATTTTACCTGGAGAATCGAGCGCCATAAGCGACATCTTCGGAGCAGCCACCCCATTGCCAGCGGCCGCGAGTGCCTTTCGAGCGAATGGCGGAGTCGCAGCCACACTCATGCAACTCACCGCGGCTGCACGCGCGCGTAATTGAGTACGCGACTCCCGCAGAGGATATCGCGTGCACGAACGCCTTCTCCCGACTATCTATCAGTTGCAGCGATAGTAAAAACGAGCATGTATATAGATTAGACGGTACAGAAAGAAGATCTTAGCCTTTTTATAAATTAAAATAAAAAAAAGGTACGTGGAACATTTTGCTTAGCAACGGTACACATTTTCGTCTTTCGAACCATCCGGTTCCACAACATCTACATTTGCGCAGATCTCCATTTTTGTCTGCTGTGAAACCAAGTTGAGTGGATCATTTACATACATTGAAGGAGTGTATTTGTATGTTTTTTTGTAAACTTACCCATACACAAACGTTTTGTACTTAGTCAGATTTTCTAATTGCTAAAGGAGAACCTTGCTACAAAGGCCTGGTATGAAATACTTTTTTATTTTGTTAAACAATGAAAAATGTTAAACAGGTAAATCTTAGAATTGAAATTTCGCGTGAACTGATTTAATCTTTGTGCCTTGGCCTTTAGGTCATACTTACAGTTTATAGAAACGTTTCATTTGCACGCTACAGCTTAGCCCTGTGCAGTTCTGGCACTCTTCGGGACTAGGGCTAGGTTGGCATTTCAGCAAATGTGTAAAGGCCCACAGCAATGGGATAGTTCTAAAGATACGTTCGTATAAAGAAAGGCAGAAAAATAATAAGATTATGAATGGTACAAAGGTTTTAAATCTAAGAAACAAACACATACTTGGTTGATGACCCACTCTTGACCATGGTGATGTTTTTGAGCTTTGTTCTATAAAAGCTTTATTTATATAATTATTCCTGTAGCATTAAATATGATTACTCACTAAGATTAGCTACGTTTAGCCAGTGAGTGCTGAGAATGCTTCCTTTTCAATTGGAGTACTGGCGCTTCCTTCTTCACATGCTGCATATTAAAGCACGTTATTGAAGGTAAGGATACAAATGGCTAAAATAACAATTTTGCTCTGTATGTAATACTCATCTACCAGTGATAGTTTAATTACGTTTTTGAACTTCGATGCAACTCTTGCTACAAACATAGTCAAACCCTAGTTTTACTACAGAGCTATAGATAGGCAGGAGTGAAGGTACAAGACGTTAAGGTTGTCGTGTAAAGTGAAAGGTGTTAACAGACGAACTCTAAGTTACAAGTATTTTCCTGACTGTAACCCTGAGCAAGGCTGTTGTTGTGTTTAAAAAACTAGGACGAATCGCATACAAAATATGAAAAAAAAAACTCCAATTAAAGTCGTGTACAACATAAGCTTCATTATTTTCTTTATATAGCCGCTAATATACATGTTCGTGTATAAGTTATGAGCACAAGTTAGCAGTCGGCTGGTCAGGTTAGAAAAAGACAGCTCCAGGGTTTCCCGGCTAAAAGGCAGGTGCAAGTTGGCTAATAACAACCAGTTTCACTCCATCCTTCTCCAATCCCTTGCCTCGAATTCGCATTTCGGGCGATGTTAACTTATGTCGACCAGTCGAGAGGGAAAGTCGGACTGTGGCTGACAGTTGCCTGTCCCCTGGTAATGGCCCTGTCATTAGGAGAAAGCAGAGAAGACGATTGGCATTTTACCTCAGCACAGGAGACACTCCACTTTATTAGGAGCATTCAAGCTAGTCCTATATTATGTGCACTTATATTACCCCGCGAGGTAGCCGCGCTATGGCAACAGCCGCACGAATAAAACGATAGAGAGTTAACCCGGATCGCCTGCACAGCCTTAGCAACCCAGCAAGTCCTCGGAGCATCTTCTCCGTCGTTTCTACGGCCATGCAGACAGTACAGACTAAAGATACATTTAGGTTGCATTTAGCTACGATGCCAGCGAGTTGGTGAAGCCGTAGCTAGTAGCGGCTGCGGGAGCGGATTTAGATAATTGCATAGGACGAGCCAAGCTACGGCGCTAGCTCAAGCCGTGAGCGAACATCACGACTAAGCGAAGCAGGCATTGTTTGCCGCTGTTTGTGTCTTCCTGCTTCAGACCAACGCTGCCTAGTGGCAAACATCGTAAAAGTGGGCTGGACAACTCTGGTCAAGTGTAGCGCTAGGTCAGTCATATAATATGCATTCTCCGTTCCTGTGTACGTGTGGGTGGGACAGCAAAACAACTAGAATGGGCAATAAGTTATTATTGAAATCAACTGTGTACATAGATACATGGCAATGCCGTAGAGGGCGACCGTATTTAGTTGTGAAGTCAACGGTAATAAGTAATTACAGGAAGATCTCATTCAGGAGGAAGCCCCTATCTTAGGATTGATCCGTTGGAAATAGTTGATTTTGCCCCAACTTTCCAATATGCCAAGTGTCACACGTATTCTTACGTTTTAATACCGCAGGAGTAAACCTATATGGACCATGTCAACTCTTGTATACATAGACGATGAGCAACAACTATCTATATTCCGTTATGTGTCGTAGAGTGACTTGCTTTATTTACTGCCGTTTTACTTTCTGTAATAGCTTCTAATAAATTAAATCTTTAAATGGTCTAAATCAAAAGATCGCCCGCAATTAAGGCTTACTTAGCACTACAGCTAAATAGCTATTACACGGAAAGTTTATTATATTTGCCTTAAATTAGTAATTTATTATATCATTAAATTGTAAATATTAATTATTTTTCTATGAGAATTGCGATCACATTATCTTCATTGACGCGATTATCATCGAATTGTTCTAGAAGTCGCTTCCGCGCCACTTGAATATTCAAAATAATTACCGTACAGGTTCGACTGAATCCGACTTTTAGATAATTTGCACCGACATAAGCTGTAACATTACCTCAGTACAGGTGAGTCACTGACATGACAATCTCCACCAGGGCCGCCTTTCGGGCGACCAAAAGCATATCGTTGGCAGCAGAAGCTAGGATAAATGAGAAACGACTCTAAAGCTAGATATATCGCTACGGATCAGCTACATGAAAGATAAGAGTAAGCATCAAGGAACTAGCTAGCAAGTGAAATACCAGGAAACAGCTTCCTTACGGATAAACACATCGGGGCATCGAGCCCCCCTGGCTGCCTTATATCGAGGATCTCAAATCTAGCGAGCACGAGCGGGCTGTGCCAGCAAGGGCGGGGGTCAGGCCAAACACGACAACGGACTTGGACAGTCAAAATGGTCCTGAGAGAGGACAGTGATCCGCGCCCTCATAAAAGCTGATTTCCCAATTTTCCTCGCCATCTTCTTTTTCAGCATGCTTAAGTACTGACATCAGGGCATGTCTTTGACTCGAACAAAGCACAATAAAAACTTATTTTCTCATATGAAGCCCACCGCTTCAGGATTGCAATACAGAGGTCACTATATGAGACCACTAAGAGTGCAATTTAGATATGGCCATCAATTCAACAGCACGTAAAGGACAATTTACATTGTTTTCGATGTGTTATCCGTATTCTTAACAAAACACTTAATAGAAAACGGCAGGATCCGTATTTTTGTGTGCAAATATAAGACTGAACGATTTTTATACTAAAAGAAATTTAATCCCTATATATATGTTAAGAACTATCATTTAATTTTATTTACCAGGGGGCAAGGTTTGCAAATTCTTAATAAGTAAGGAAAATTCGAATCTCTAAGAAAGCTATTTATTCTAGAATAAGTCTATCATAAAACACTTGAACTTACGATATTACCAATCTTGTAAGTAGATCAATAGTAATAAAATCCTTGACTTAATATCAGCATTTTTCTGAAGTTACACCTGACGATTCTGGACGTCAATCTTTAAATGTTGCCAGACAAAAAAATCGCAATTAACGAAGGAATTTTAGTTTCACCCCGTCCCAGCTGTTTCTAGGAATGACTATATGCCAAGTCATAGTTGCTTGCTTTAATGCATGAACCACGCCTCTGCAGCATGACAGGATAATGCACTTCAACTGAACTATTACTAATTCCCTGTGAAGTGGGGTTGTAGTAACATGTTGCCTTTCATAATTAGAAACACTTAGTAAGGTGCTATAGGTTCGAAGCTGAGCGTTGATACCTCATTTAATAGTCAAAGATATCCGAGGCGTATCTGAAACAGCAATATCTACTCAGTGACAGCAGCACACTTATGAATTTAGGTTTTTTTGGTAGTTGGTTTTTGACGCAGTTAGCCGCAGTCCTTCTGTATGTAATTTTATTTGTTCTCGTAGTGACAAAAGCATACTATACCGAATCCCGAACCGTCCAATCAGTCGGAACGTGACTTACAGAGTAAGGCTCGTGAACCAAGTCAATCTTCGTTCCCAGTCATTGCAACTCTTGTTGCTGTGATGGCGCTGGCTCGAGCTATTTTCATCTAGCATTGCATGGCACAGAGCGGATACGGGACGATATGGGGATATAAAGGGAGACTGTCGGGGGGGGGGGGAGGCAAGGCACAAAATACTTTGAGAGTCGGGACAAGTAGTAAAATATGGAAAGGGGCCTGATGGGTAAACGCCTGACCGTGGAGTTATAAAAGCTGCCTTTATGCTGCCTCCGCCGTCACGCGGCTAAACTACAGTGTCCGAACAATCTGGTCGTCGCCTTATGTTAGCCCCCTATACCCCCAAGCTTCTACCCTTCGCCTGGTGATCTGAGCCCGCCACTGTAGCTTCCGGTATAAACGCCTTATAGCGATTATTAAGAGTTACGCATCATGCTCCTAGCATGCGTCCCATCAGTCCCCTATACCTATATCAACCCTAAGGCTTCAGTCTGGTGGCATCGGTCAAGCCAAGCAGATTGGCCTGATCGGTATAGCTCCTTCTTTTGTCCTAAAACCAGGGACAATACTGTGCCTAAAGCAGACCGTGGGCGAGTATTGTAACTGTAAAAGTACTAGGTACGTTTTAGATAAAATATATTTAAACGTAGTGTTGAATTAATAGAAGTGTTTTCGTTTTCCAGTTTTTTTGAATTATTGAAACAAGGTTTTTACTCCAGCTAATAATTTACGACGAGTGAAGTTAAAAGAGATACGCATGAGAACCGATTAACGTACGAGTAGTTGAATGATGAAGGGAAATTCAGGTCGTCAGATCTGTACCGTAAAGAAAAAAACTAACTTCAACGGAAAAGCCCAGTACAAAATCTATTTCTCGGTCAAATTTAACGCTATATCCAAGATATGTCTAAAATGACCAGTGCACATATTCAGTTATAAGATATAATTGTTGCTTGTTTCTTTTGACAGCAGGCGACCCACACCTATTTCACACAAGAGATTCGTTGAATTTGTAAAGTATATATCAACATTCAATGCCGCTTTACTATATAAAATCATCCTGAGAGTATGGCTAACGCTGCACTATTATCTGCTCTCAATATATCGTAAACTTGCCTCGATTGCCCTGTTGGAGAGTTCGCCTTTTACGCAGCTATTTATAACCAAAGATTTTAGGCTCAACATGAATCCTCTCAGTCGGTTTGTTTATACAGCCCGCGCGTATTTCCTGTGAGCCCTGCACTACCAGCTCAGCTTATTGGCAAATGTAATTGAGGTGAACAGAATAACTATAAAAGCTATGAACAAAACAAAAGCTACTAAACAGAGCAGAGAATCTCCAGAGGAATCCTGTTCATGAGCCAGTCAGATGGAGAAGTGTGCACTGTGGTAGTTGCCTCTGGAGTAGCATCTGATGGACTTCAGGGCGCCGGGCCAAGGCAAGACTTTACTGCCGACGAGAGTTGGATGCATTCAGCATCTGAACTAGCAATATCTCAAGCTTGCTGCTTCGAGACCTGTTTTGGGTTGTCAGTGAGGACACAGCTCCAAAGAAAAACCCCAGAGACCACTAAAGCGACCCCGAAGAACATCCTGCTCGCCACGTTTTAAAGAGGGAGTGAGCTCGCGTAATGCTCAAGCTTTCGATAGACAAGGGTTTACTGGAGTTCATCCAGTAGTCTTAGATATCTATGTACCACGAGTCGCTGTTCACAACATGCGTTTCTTTGTGGGACGACCGAACAGAACATTTGGTTCAGGATTTGTGTACACTTGTACACACCATTTCAAAGCTACTATGCAACTGGAAGTAAAACTAGAACAGTCGTGCAACGAAATGGCATTCATAGCCAGTTTCGTAACTAGGTTGCGTCGCAGCATCACATTAAGTACAACACCCGCTCAACAATTGCGGTTAATTGATACAACTCGAAAAGCTTTAATGGAAAGTCGATCCGACACTGTAATGGTAAGTGATTGAAGATATTTGTTGTACTTATAAGAGCGATCGATTCTTGCATGTAAACCATATCATAAAATTACCTTATACATGGACTCCTATTAATGCGTAACGAAGCACAACGAAATCCCTTTGATGAAAAGCAACTTCGTTACGTTCATATGTTTACGCTTGTTAAGCTTGTATCGGCTGGTACTCACTGATACTCAAGACACCTCCAAAGACCTTCGTGTCCTCCGGTTGCGTCGAGCAGTTCCATCGACTCATGCGAAACTGTCGTTGGCATTCTTCGATACCCATTTGAGCACCGCGGCCTATAGTTTCCAATGTTGGCCGTTTGAGAGAGCAGATATCCCTGTAGAGGTAGAACGTGCACGTCACATATCACATTTTTGCGCATGCCCTTTGAAAACGACGAAGTAGGAGACTGAAGAACTGTGGTCAAGCCCTGTACTACTAACAGAAATAATGACACTTGAAACAAGCAAATCAGGGTTAATATATACATTTTGAGTACAACCTGCTGCTGTGTTTTATTGCAGGGCTTAGATGATGTCTGCAAAAATCATCGAAAGACGCTGCAGCCGGAAGGGACGTCTCATCCAGGGCCGACGGCATTCCCAAGTACCTAAAAATGTTTAAAAAAAAGCCTGTTAATAATAACGTACTTGTATATGCTTTCGTGTTATGGGTTAACCGTACCCATAGTTTTGTAGATAAATGGGGCAAAAGTACTTCAACGTGTACACACCTATGGGCATCTTGTTCTCGCGAGATAAGTCCTCTAGCAAGCCAGCGTTGCCCAGCTGGCAACAAATAGGACCCTTGATTCAAACGACTAGTACTGAATACAGGTTTCAAGTATTTCATTTGATAACGACTGTTTTTGCTCCATTTTAATAGTAATTTACGGTTATAATTGACCATCAGCTCACTTCTATGCAAAATACGGAGCGTTTGTAAATACCTGGTTATGAATCCCAAATCGCCTGATTTTTGTTATAGATTCTTCTCGACTTAAGATGGAGATCATACGAGACATATAGTAAGTGAGGCGCTTTCTGAGCTGTAAAAACCTCCATAATAATACGTCTAAGAACTAACAGCAAATACTCTATATTTGAAACGACATCTTGAGTATATCTGTCCAACTTCAATCAAATGTGATTCGTGAAATAAGTAGTGAAATAAAACCGAAAATAAATTTATTAAGGCCCCTGAAAGCCTTTTTCAGACATTTATTTTTAGCGATCACCCTCTTAGGCGCCTTAAATAGCATAAAAAGATGGACAGAAGCACATTTTTAGGAAAGCTGTACACATATAAGGAAAATGTGAGTCTAAGCGAGTCGTTTTTCTAAGCTACTTATGTGTTCTAATTGTCATTATCCCTGGTTAATTAGTTTTATCTCAGCCAAGATCGTAATATGTAGTAATCTTCAGGTATTTTGTGGTAATTATCAAGATAAATGTTTGCACTGATTCTTGTCTGTCAATGATGTCAGATGGTGATTACATTAAAAACATAATACTTAGCAGAAAATCTGTACAAGCACCATAATTGATACTTTCTTTTCGATACGATATGATTGAACAATTCAAGGCTGTCTGTAAAATATTTTACGGTCAAAACAAAACGCAAGCTAAAATCTGCGTGCCAGATAGACTGCCAAGGAAAACGGGTAATTTGGTCGACATGTGCCCACTTTTTCGGATATTACTTGCAAGTCTTATCCACACTTCCCTACGTGTGTGCTTCGTATTTCGCCTATTTTAGCTCCAACTCATCGCTTGAAGTCATCGCTCGATTTATGGCTTCGCGCGCCAAAACCGCCAACGACTTAAAATATTGTCGCCTACGGGGCTGGCGAACCGGCCATAATGGCATATAAATTCAAGTCATAAATTTGTCCCTGTATGACCTAGATTGGGCGTTCGCTTGGTTGATTGTCCAGTCCAGGCGTCCAAGTGTCCTGTCGAACAAAGATACCTCCTCGCCAGGCCAAGCCAGGCTCGCCACTGTGTTCAGAATCACTTCAGCTGGAACCGTGGCGTACTACTGTACCACAAGCAAAGCAGCTGTTCCTTCTTTTTCTTGGGCTGTATATTATGTCCTGAGCATGGTTCAGTTTTATATTCAACTCATGTAATACAAAAGTCGATACAAATCATCGCCATCAATGTCTACCGCAACCGCTAGGAGCACAGGCAACATCAACGAGGCTAAACAAATCTTTTAAACAAAAAGTCAAGAGAATATTGGCTTGTACATGTACGAATTTTTTAAATGAATTTTTTGTTGGATGGCATGGTATTTTATGGATACGAAGAATAAAAATAACATATCCGACATCTATTATACAGTATAGAATCTTTACAAAGATTAATTTACAAACAAATTGGAGCTGCGTTGTCATCTCTTTGAATTAAAAATCAGTGTGATTCAAATTCTGCTTTATAGAAATGAGACGTTTTTATGGACAACTGTATTTTTTTTTCTGCAGCACTCCGTCACCGGAAGATTCTTAGCAACTACACCAGTTAAAGCGTAACAATCGAACTGAAAAAACATGATGTCTAGAAATTGGTCATGGCATTGAGAAATTACAATTCTTATTAAAAAAAACTATGCGAGAAATATAGCCGGCATCCGCAGAATAAATCCAGTGTCGAACGTCTTCGTTTTTGACCTAATTCCAACGCTTAACTCATGTTAAATTAAATCACAACTAGATTAATCTAGAATCTAACATCTTTATCAATAATACTATCAAACAGAATAAATAGATTTTATATATTAACGATAACTCATTAATGACTATTCAGCCTAAAAAGTCGGGTTAGAGGGTCTCCGCAGAGACTAAAAGGAACTCTTACTTTTTAATGGGCTTTGTTTTTAATTTCTTTAACAATTAATTTCTTAAGAATATAGCTAAAAATCTTGCCAGTGCGGGTCCAGTGATGTGGGTGTGCTTATGCGTATGACGACTCAAAATAGATAGAAACAATACTCCTCAAACTGAGCCTAAGGCTTTTCCGTCCGTCTCTATGATTTAACTTAAAGAAAAGAAACCTTTTCTTGTTTGTCAACCGTTATCACATACCCAATCTATATAGACGTTTTTACTCTTGCAAATCGTATCGCTCATTAAACAGTTTTGTCTTCAACGCTGTCGCTAATTCAAAATATGGTGTGATCATGATGCTGCTCTAGTTTTGGCCTATATATTTTTTGACGATAACCAAGAGATGACCAGGTACAAGAAGAACTGCCTATCTTATTTGCTGCCTTGTAATGAATCACCGAAATTGCTCTACTTTTAAGTATTGAAGTCCATTAACACTTATCTCAAATGCCATAATAGACAATGCAAGTCGTTACAAAGTTATCGCGACTGCGCGGATAAATAACTCACCACCAATTAGCATGCGAGCTATGACTTAATTCGAGTACGATAACCGCCACAACAGTCCATCCCGGCCGATGCATTTCTGTACCACTCCTAACACCTTCAAATAGACCAAACGACATCCACTACTTACAACTTCTTCTGTCTACAATGAAGATGTTTAATCAGTGTGTCTAACACAAATTTTCTTTCACTCAATCTTCGGACCTAGGAATCTCGGAGTACTTAGTCTTCGGAGGAGCAGAGCTATTGCTTGGCGGGCTAGCGAAAAATGCCGGCGCCTCAGGAAGTCTGGTACCTTCCTAAACTGTGGCGCCCCCTCCTGGCTTAGAAGGAAATCATCCAGGACATAAGCTGGTCACAACAGGAGGAAAGAGTTGGGGCTGTATCGAAAACTTACCACGAATCCTACTGGCAAACACACTAAAACTCGCCATTTTCACCTCAAAAAACTACAGCGTTTGCTATTGTGTCGCATGAATATCGAGAACAATAAAAGAAGAACACCGAAAAATACTGCCATCTAATTTTTATTTGTCCGTCGCTCTGCTTTTTTGGTTTTTTCAAGTATCTCTGTGAAAAACTCAGAATCAGTACAAATGTCACTGTTTTGTTGATTTGTCACAATATACACCTACAGTAGAATACCATTTATTACAGAATATAATCAACCAACTTAATTGCTTCATCAACTCCATGGCAGTGTGACTTGCGTTCCTGGTCTCATACAGGTAAAGCCAGACGACTTGTTAGGTACATATGAGTTCATAATAGCTGTTACAATTTAAAGTTAGTAATGCTACTTAGCACGAGACTCTCCCATGAAATAAGATCTATTTCTAATTTTGGTACTCTTACGCACGTTCACTAATACTTAGTGTAAATTGCACTCATTCGCTTGATGTATGGTCATTCTAGCTGTGCTCACACTTAGGGAACGGTTCAAAATTCAAGCATTCGCTACATCCTTATTGAAATTAAATCTATCGTTGCGTTTTAACCCTCCGACCACGAAATGTTTTATCAAATTACACATGGTATAATAAAAACAGAATAGTGACAAATCCAAAAGATTATTTTCCTAGCTGCCCACTTCACTTCGTTTAATTGCGCCCTAAGCAAACAACTGTTCGACAAGCACCTGCGCTCGTTCGCGATCGACATCTCCATACACGTTAGTCGCAAGCGCCGCGTCAATAGCTGCCTGTATTGCTGATGGCGAGAATACGCCCATACCTAAAATGACATCCGTGACGTCGTTTAAGAAGTCCACGTATGCATTAGACTCTTCGTTAAGCACGCTGTTTTCCGACTCCATCGGAGGGACATCGTGTGTCGTATCGGCATCGGATACTTCGTCACAAGCCTCCACGTCTGGCTCCACCGAAGGCGAAACTGTAGCCTGCACTTCGGATACGATAGGAACGAGGCTTGAAAGAGACATAGACAGCCCCTCCTCTGCGCAAATTCGTAGGGCAACAGACTTTTTATCCCCCGGATGATTGACTTTTGAGGAGCGTGACCGCTTTTCACTGCTCACCGTAGACACCGATTCCGCTGGAATCTCTTGTGACTTTTTAACTGTTAAGGATGAGCTAACTGTTGAAACTGTACTGGCAGTGGATGGCTTTGCTCCCTGTGCAGCTTGGTGACGGTCCGAAGACTTCGACGACATTGATGATGATTTTGATGAAACTGATTTTCGAGCTATCGAATAATGAGATGCTTGACTGCCATTTGCAGAAACATTGTCAGAACTGTCATCTGACCTACTGTTATCGTGGTCATCAGCTTTTGACGAAGTTGATGAACCGCTTGCCGAAGCCGATGATCCTCCATCACTCGACGATTGGGAGCTTGTAGATGCCGTAGACATTCCTTCATGACCTTCATGAAAGGTTCCTTCATGACCTCGCGCTTCTGTATGCTCAAGGGTCTCTGCCGAAGCCGAGGGTTCTTCACTGGAGATGCTAGCTTTCTGATAAAACAATGGCATCTTACGTAACTTCGATTCCGCTGCAGGGACCCGCCGAACGATTCGGGGGTATGACGTTGTGAAGGCGGAGGCATGAAGGTCCATCACGTCTAAAGATAGTGGTTGCGAAGGCTCTCTGGGATGAAATCGGTTTGCAAAAAATAAATATTAAAATATATGAGCATGAATTCGAGGAGCAGGAAAGAAATAAAGTCAGATAATCAATTGATGAGGAAAAGATATATGTCCAAGCGTGATCAGCTTCTATAATATATTTAGACTCAACAGGAATAACTGTGATTAGTAGAACAACATTTGATTTACATACATTTTATGAGCTTTTCGTAGATATGGGAATCGTTTCTTTGGGGAAAATGGAGTCCGTTTGTAATTAGTGAGTATGAGGAAACGTTCTATCCTCTGCTCTATTGTGGCATCTTCAGATGAAGTGAACTCAGACAAGTTCCAATATCCGGGAGCTTCGGACGAACCCGTGGCTGGTGAACCGGCCGACATAAGCTGTTTACGTAATTCATTTTGTTCTATTCAACACATGAACAAAATTATTATTAGGAAATCATTGAGGCACTTACTGAACTTCTGTTCGGAAGGACCTAAGGAATATGTTAAGTACCCGGTATATGTTATAAGTCACATGAAAATGACTTCGATCATACAAAAAAAAGCTCATACTTGAAATACTCACTTCCCAGGTAGCTTCCAAACATGCACTTTGGCGTCTTGTTGTCCACTCGCGCTACTACCAAACAAGCAGTCTTGTTAAACGAATGATTCAATCTCCACTGAACAATTACTAGCGTAGAAAAGATGTTAGAGACATCATAAACTGGATGTAGATAAAAAAAAAATTGGATATAGACCAACAGAGTCCAAAATGCGTAATATTCATATCAGATTGGCCGTGACCAAAATTTTTATTGCTGATTCGTAATATGTATTTAAAAAATATTTATTGTAGTGGTTCTCTTGCACCGATTTCCGTAAACCATAAACTAAACTACTTTCGAATTTCCTGATGTAACTAGAAATTATAATATATTTAATAGATGGAAGTGTAAGAAAGTTGGATTTACTACTGTTTGCCACGAAAAGGAACACACAATAATATAATCGCTATAATATATTACGGAATACCAGCAGATATGACTCTAAAGAGATCAAGCTGCCATGAAATAGATGATATAGATATATTCTAGTCGCATAATATTATGCAAAATTGTGTTCTCCGTGACATGCGAGTTTGGGAAACTTGTTCCCACGTTTCTAGCGGCAGCCAATACACAGAACCCTTAGCGTCGCTTTCACACCGAGAAATTTTTGTCAGATATTAAATAAAGCCAATTACCTTTAACTCTTTCTACTCGTTCATACAGTCGATAGCAACGTTCTAGAAATATCCTCTCCTCTTCGGCTCCTGTAAGACATGCAGGTAGAGATTTGGATTGGTTAGACTGTGACTGTTTGTTAATAAAGCAAGTAGTTCACTAACTATAAAGAAATTTTTTTAGCGACTTTATGCACAGACTCACATTTGTAAATTTTGAATCACGAACATACAAAAAAAAAATACTTTAAATTTATCGAAAACATCTAACAGGCATTGCTACGCGGATCCGAAGCCAAAGAACGTTCGAAGAGCTCAGTTTGAAACCAAGTATTGCCTAGATCATGCAAGGATGCTCTGTAAAACAATTGTTGCATTTCCAAACGGCAAAACCGTTTGTGGTTATGTTCACTCACGTGCAAAGGACGTCATGCTTCCTTGTTTATTTTTCCGTTACCAGGGTAACTGTCCAAATGGGGCTGGCCGGAAAGCGCGCTTCACCGGCTCTCTCTGAGTCAGCCCACATCAGATGTGGACTCCGATTCAGCGAGGTCTTGTGAACTTAGATCCATTGCCATTTGAGACGCACGACAGTCAACAGTTAGCAAGTCGGTATACGAGGCCAGATTGGGGTGATAAAGGTGACCGTAGGCTCGACTAGGTTATAGTGACTGTCCCCATAGTTTGAAAGAAGAGTGGATCAGCAAGCGGATATCCTTCCTATTCTATGAGCGTGAATACTCAACTCCACTAAGTGAACAAAAACAAAAGAGAAAGTTGTGATACAACAAATAAAATTAAGAGAGTATAGCTCTAAACGTGCATTGTTGACAGATAACAATTGCTATGAGGTTGGGACGCTTCGCAACTGGTGGAAACTGCTGCTAATGCATAATTTTATATATATATATATATATAAATATATATATACATACACACAAAACTGGAACAGAGATTTGAAGATTGAAAATTGATTATTTAAGCGGTTTATGATTTGCTAGCTATTTAAAAGTCATTTAGTGATCTTAGCTATAAAGACAATTGAGTTCAGCACATCTTTATTATACAATGGATGTTTTTTTAAAAAATGCCATTTAGTATAATCGACACTCTAGGGAATATTCATACAAATTGGTTGATAATATTTAATTTTAAGACAGAACAACACTGCCAGCTGTATGTATATGCTCTCTTCAGCTAGCTGCTCGCTTAACCTGTTAGCCTAGTTTACCTAACCACAAAATACCGCCAGGAAACACTTTCCTCATGGAAAACAAATTTAAACGTTTGAGTTAATATTTAAATCAATTCCGAACCACAGTCCAAGCATACGTGGTCCGGGGTTCAATAAGTGGACATCCCATAGTACCAAGCAAGTACCTTATCAGTAAAGTCTGGCCCATATAATGCATTAGCTTTTAAACTTACGGCTGTAACTTGTAATTCTAATAATACATATCCTAACAATTTGACTTACTATTGTCTGCTACGAAACACAACATAAAGTAGTACAGCCGCTATGAGAAAGAATATTGAAAACAGGTCCAAAGAGTGGCCAACACTACAGATTACTGCGGTTAGTCAAACGCCAAAGCAAACTATCGATTATGACATCAATGATAAATTCCGGTGGAACTGCATTCGATAGTTATCTTGCAAAAGAGCACGAATTACAACAGATTTTCTAACGTTTTTCAAGATACATATAGCTTTAACGTACACCATATTAGATTAAATTCGAATTACTGCAGTAGCCTACGATACCATACCATCAAGCGTAAAGGTCCTTTCAGGAATTAAAAGGGAAATGTAAGTGATTAACCACAAAAGCGAAGTCGTAGAGCCCTAGCCTGGATGAGGACGGTTTCATTTTTTTACCTAGTCCATTCGATATCGTCTAAATCAGTATCTAGTTATAACCAGGTTCGATATCTGTTAAAGAGGAAAAGGAACTGCAGCGCCTAAGAAGCTCGAAGAGCAGACTTGCCAAAGGTTATTTTTCACGCAACGTACAGACGCGATATAGCAATCAAGATAGACAGGTTAGTATGACAGTGTCTTGCATTTAATTGACCGCAATCTCAATGCTGTTCAATATTATAGAGAAATACGACCCTTTTCTGTAAAAAAGATACAACTACGAGCAGCATTCAAAGATAATTTTTAACTGCACCTCTAGAGGAAGTCATTGTACCTTTTAATGTATATGGACATCATGTCTGTTGATTACCGAGTGGCCGAAAACAATAGTTATCAACAAAGAGAACAATTTGAATGATTGAATTGAGTAAAGTAAAAATCCTAAGGTTTTTCGTGACAGTACGCGTCTGGACTTCATCAGTAATTGTAACTAAAATTGCCTGATCTTCATTTCAGCACAATGCACTTGTGCGTTGAGAATAACATGCCGTTCTTGACAGACAATTGAGCGATACCATTGGCAGTTTTTTTAAAAACAACGTAATAGGATTGACGACATTGAACTTGCTAAAATATCTTTACATAATCTGTATATTAACCCGTTTAGCTTACAGTGGTGTGCATTTATGTCTGAAACAAATTTTGAACGTTTGACAGCGGCGAGACACAGTTTACTTGAAACACGTCTAAGAAATGAGAATGTGTCGCAGTAAATACGACCTCCATTCTGACACGGAAGGACCTGTGATTTAGATAGGACCTAAACCAATCTAGTGTCAGTGTGGGCAGCAGAGTACTCACCTGATCAAACAGCAAAGTATGATCCATTAACTTCATTTTGATCGGCGTCTGATTGAGAAATAAACTTTAATTTATCCAAGAGACTGGTGGAAATGAAACAGCCGTAACATAAAATCTAGTGCAGAACCTCTTAATCCTATTCAACATATGCGAATGTATCTAAAGACTGGTATAATAATCGACGTTTTGCGTTTACATCATTTTGTGACCCCTATAATTATAGAATTACTGCCCACTCGAAAGTTTTAAAAAAACTCAACGCTAATCGTGTGAGTTCAGGCCATATTAGCTGACGGGGTTAGACCAGTCAAAATTACCTATTTTGCTTATTATTAGATATGGTCTTTCACCATCTGGTAATCAAGTCTAGCTTCTAGTGAATGCGTGTACGGAGCGACCACTTTCTGTGTAAACGCGAAATAATCATTAAGCTATATATCATAAAGTTAGCTAAAAATAATCTATATTTAACTAAAGAAACTTTCTTCCTAATAGTTCTGTTGGAAGAAATACAGTCAGCTGATACAACCAAAATAGTAAATTCTTTATCCAATATACATTACATGGTATCCATGTCGCAAGCTATTTTCTGTGGCTAATGAGATTTCTGATCCCATTTACATTCATATACAGTCACATAATTTTTTGTTCCCGACTCAATCGAATATATCAAAATACGGTAACTTGGCATTAAAATAACACATATAATAATACGTTATGATGCACTAGCAATGGCGCCCAAATAATCGTCCATTAACGTTCCAATGGCAAAGATATCTGTCGCGTCCACTCGAGTTCCGACAATTTTCAACCTAGAAAGAAAATTATGATATTAATATATATTTAGAAAATTTACTAATCCGTCTAATAGAAACGAATCATGCCCCTTTTTTGAGGAAACGATACTCTTTTTATATTATCAGAAATTGTCCTTGCAGCCGTTAGTTGAATTACTAAACGAACGCTGTCTGTAAGACCAACCTAATCTCATCATCCTGAGCGATTTCCTCATCTTCTGCATTTTTGTAGCACGGTGGCGTCGCATTGGGATCGAATTGCATATCTTGAGGTATTGAATGGCGTGAGATAAAGCATGACAAAGGGCCTAAAAGTACAACAGACATGCAAATTATATTACTTTTGAGGTATAGTATTTTTAAGCAAAGACGTCTGTATGGCCCTTCTAACAATCTCAGTCATATTGTAGCGGTAAGTACCATCTAGCGATTCCCTAGCTCTTACTCAGTAAAAAAATAGCAACTGTTGTAATTGAATAGGTAACCATATGAAATATATTGGGCACTGCAAAAAAAATATAACAACGGCAGCGCAACATCACTGACACCTTTTCAACTTCTTCGTGTAAATGAAAAATGGCAGTAGCAGAAAAGAGGGTTTTGAGGATAAGCACTTCATCGTTAGTGTACCAGTGATCTTTGTGACCATCGCAGGAAAACTTACCAATCTCCGTAAAGATGCCGACCTTGTTCACTTGTGTGACAACCGCATCTAGCACCTCGCCCTTGAAGGGGCGGAAAACTATAGCCTTATATTTCACAGGATATACGACGAACCCACGATTGGGCTGAATTAGACCGTCTCCGATGGAGTCGATGGCGGTCACGGCAATCACGAAGCCATACCTAGAAAACACGCAGAAAACATTCAAAAACTTTAATTATTGAATACAATGTTAGTACCACAATGTTCATGCTATCCATGCTTATTTTATAGAACTTTTGTAGCGAGCGAGCAAGTTCTGCTATACTGAAAAGACGTTGTTTAGGGATAACTGTTAGGTACGCTAAAACTAATTTTACTAGCAGAAACATTATTAAGAACGGAGTGAAAGCACAATACTTAACCGTATGTGATTTTCAATTACCTGTCATTTAAGAGCCTAGAATTGTATATACTAACAAATGAAATCTTTAAAAATATGAACATGACTTAAAAATTCACTTTTTTCGCAAGCTTAATGTCATCTGTTGAATGTATTGTTAAATTTAACTTGATTAATATTTTTATTTACTACTTGATTGGTGAAGATCATTATCACTATTATTATTATATTTTTGTTATCACAAACATTCTAAATCTAGCATGCTAGTGTTTTGGAAATCCCTAGACAAAGGATTTTACAATGTATCATTTTCTGTTAAAATACTCAAATAATCTAGGGCATTCACCTACTTTCCGGTACACGTTCCTTCGACTTCTGTGAAAAGTTTTTGTTTGACTGTTTCCATTAGCTGCGGTCCGAAGTATCTCGGGTGCAGCAGGATTTCATGCTCTAGGGAGATGTGATAGAACATTTCTTTAATTTGCCTGCAACGGCATTATTCGACAACATACGCGCACAAAACGCATCAGAATCAGTAGCTCTTTTGTACTTCTAACTACGTAGAAACTTCGTGTTTACCTATATACTATCTCAAACGAATTAATATTTGATAGAATTAGAATACAGATAGATTTAGAAGAACAATATATTATGATCGTTAATTATCATTTTAAGATAACATCCTCGCTATTATCGCCGTCTGTGCATCTCAAAATATAGGAGTAGAACGTACATAATAGAGTTGATCACCTGCTTCCACACCTCCACAGACACTCAATGAGAGCCTTCAAGAATTTTGATTTGGCTTCTATTCAAATACATAATTAAATTAAATTAAAAGCAGACAAACGTCCAAAGCACAAGTTGAGACGCTAATTAAACAATATAGAACGCTGCCAAATGTGTTATCGAAAATTCGCACTTTGCATTTTCAGCCTATGTTCCATGATCGAAACAACAATGAATATAAACAATGCATACACTTTCTTATACTAGGTTCAACCATCTGATTGTTACTCTTTTTCATATTATAAAAAAATAGGTAAAATTATTTTTTCGAAGCATCGATTTAATACATTCTTTTCAACAGGCTAACCACAATATCTATTTTGCAAATTTTGAAAATAGAAATTTGAAAATATCTTGAATTCTCGATTAAATTTTTTGATATATAATTTCTTCCTGTTCCTCCACAGAGTTGGTCTTCGTTATTGAAAATCTAGGTTCAAAAACATGGTATGAAGGTGTTTTTATTGTTCTTTCTTCCAGTGTATTGCGAAGCAACAACATTATAACCTATTTAACATACTGCTTGCAGGTCAATAGGCTTCCAAGGAAGTGAAATACTAAAAAACTTATTGATACAGACCTCACAAAGCGGAGAAATCCCACCACAACTTGCGCACGAAACTATTCGAACTTCGTCTACAATTTCGTCGTCTTCAGACCGGTGTTCACTTCAAAGATAGAGATGCGCGGTTGTTTATATAGAGGTCAAGTGAGACAGCAGACGACGATATCTGAATCTAGTTAACTCATTAGAAAATTAAGATGAATAACCTACTAAGAAACTAGTTTCGCTATTTTAACTGAACAATTTTAGAATTACTTTCTATAAAAAAAAGAAGTAGACTTGATAAATACCATAAAATATAAACAAAAAAGATGTTCGATGTCCGCTAGTACATTGGTCACTTGGACGCCCGCTAAATTTCGAGTTTGTCAATAACAAAAGTCCCCTGTTATCGCACCGGTGTCGAACACGGTGTCTAAAGACGATAAATAAACTTGCAAAATAAATCAAACCTATATAAGAACGGCTCAAAGTGCGCAAAAAAGCGGAGAAATGTTTCTAGCTAGTTTGTGGGACTTTTAAGTAAGGACACTAATTTCAAATTGCATATAGTGAGTGAATAAATAGTGATCGGGGTTACTTGCATCCAGATTTAACCAACCGCTACTACTGGAATCTAAATAAGGGGAGACTTGCGGGTAGCGAGCGAAACCCTTTGAGCCACCTATTTCGAGTGCGGTATAACGTGTAAGATGGAGTCTACTGGCAGTGGTAAAAGACGTGGAGACCGTATCGTTCTCGATGAAGCTCAGCGGGAGCGACGTCGCCGTAAGGCACTTGACGCGCTTGAGCAGGACAACTACCATGAAGATCCGCATGCCAACCTGGTCATGAATAAGAAGGCGCCGAAGTTTGAAGAAACCCTTCTGGGCCCCGCGGAACGTAAGGAACGACCAGGAAAACGTAAAGGAGTACGCGATTTCAAGCAGGTTCGATATAAGAAGAGTCTGGACGCCTTGCTCGAAGAGGACCACGCATTGGGTACAGAACCGCCGAACTATATGACCGCGCAAGCTGCACCATCGAAATTTCCCGCTAGACAATTCTGCAGTGTTTGCGGTTTTGAGGGGCCCTATAGATGTGTAACTTGTGGATCTAGATACTGTTCCGTGAAGTGTCTCAATACCCATCAAGACGTGCGCTGTTTGAAGTGGATGTCTTAAGGAATGATGGTTTAATGTGAAATGTAAAATATACACATAGTTGCATTCTATATCTCATATCATAGACTATCATGTGTCAACTTCGACAACTCAGAAGAAACACCTTGGATGTTAATTAAGAATTAGTTTGTAAGTTCCAGGTTCGGGAGCCTTGAAAATATCGTTTAAGTTTAAACAAACCCAAATTTATATATTGCAACACCAGTTGTTAATCTTGTAAATAGTTGTGTATGTATGTAGACGATAATATTTTACAAACGTGCAAAATACAATAACATATATTTCCTTATTACAGTTCGTGGATTGATATTATTGGTATTTAAATACCGTAAGAGTTCTCAACGTTTCAGTTATGTAAAACTTAAGGTTGCGCATAGGAAAAAAACGTTGTGAATGACGATAGACACTGTTGCTTATTGTTGGAAACGTGTAAATGGGTGTGGAGGCTGTATAGTTTGGGTACTTTTAACTAGGCAACACTACATAATGTCAGTATACAAAGCTTAGTCAATAAATATTAGAACTCCCAATTTTATCAATAAATTATATGAGTTAAGTCGATTCGCTTCGATTTGCTTTTGATGGAAGCCAGCGGCCCTCGGCAATCTCCATTCAAATTTGACGTGGATTCAACTAAATTTTAAATTTATTTAAAACTGTTAGAAAGTATCAAGCATCAATGTGTTGCAGATTTCTTGGCGCCCAGATGGAGGGCTAGTTTGGCATCTCTAAACTTTGATTGAAAACGGAATTAAATATTTCCATATATTTTAATTCAGTACATGTTATATATAAGGTATAAAGCTGTTTAAGCAGGAACTAAGTTTTAGAGTACAGTCGTTTTAGAAATGCTTCATAAGATACCAACTTTGACATTTGTTTTGGGAGTACATTAACAGTTTGAACCGAAATGAGATCATGATTATCATTCTATAACTTTTCTGAAAATTCCGCAGTCATTAAAAAGTATTCTTATGAACCCTCACAAATATTATTCAAGCATGTTGGTCGCCGAAGATCACAGATCTATGCGGATGCCTGATGAATAATTGCCTACAGAAATGCGCCGATTTATGCTTGGTTGCTAAAACGATTTGATTTTTAATAGAAATAAATATCGTAGTTTCACCAATTCCAGTGTTCATTAAAACTGGTCATTAATGACTTTCCGTTTAAAAAATGAATAAAGAGAGAAGACAAAATCGAAAACATTTAGCTTGCCTCGCGGTGCCATTGCTATAGCATTAACGACGACTTTCGCTTAGAATGAGCCTTATGTCACGTAAGGTCAACATTATTTACCGAGCTCTATTCTGAACTATTTACGGCTGATTACTTTTTTCACAGTTACGTCTCGCGCTATGTCGGTCTTCGCGTAAGTTTTTCCTATTTTCTTAGCGATTAGCTGATCGCCTGCTTTCAGGTTAGGTGTTGCGATTACATTAATAGAACGTTCAATGTCGACAAATGTCATGACATGCACTATACTACGGGTCTAAAAAAGCGTATAGCCATCGAATATCGAGGGAGTTTATAATGTGCGTTTTCGTTACGCAGTTTTTGAATATAATATTATTTAGCTACCGATTCGTATAACTATGGCTGTTATTATTAGAGGAAGAAACTTATCGATAGGACTTTTTTCATTTGTGGGATAGGTAAACTTTCTGCGTTGTCTGTCGCTTCATATAACAATCGAACCAAACGCAAATTTACCTTCGCATTTCTAATACGTTCAGCACTCGGTCTTTTTTTACCAATAATTTTGTTCTTATAAGTAGTTGAGACTTTAAGCTGGTTTATAATTCTGCCTAGGTGAATAACTGTCATCGACGATTCTGTCAAAGTGTTTACACTTGCATTTTGGATAAATAGATACAGTTGCTACACGTTGAATATTACTTTGAATAGATATAGTCAACTGTACGTTTGTGGGGTATCTGCGATACAAGATTGAACTTTTCCTTCACACAAAGACTTGTTCACTGTTAAGAGAATGCTTATTGCTTGAGATCTAGGATGTTGTCAATGGAGCCCAAATAATCGTCCGCCAACGCAACGAAAACGAAGATATTCGTGGTGTTCATTTAAGAAGATTTAACCGAAGATGTGCAATCGAATTCAATCTCTTGCCAACCAATGTATTTTTCTGTAAAATGAAGTACACCACAACAGATTAACATAAACTGAGTAACAACCTAATTAGGTATAGACAGTTTGTTCAGAATTTCTACGTTTGCCAATAACTTTTCAAATACATGTTTTTAGTTACTGACTGCACGTATTTTTCACTTTGCAGCACTTAATACCATTCTCCTGTGTAATTTTCTCATCCTTTTTGCTTCTGTTTCCAGGGCAACAATAAACTGAAATCGAACTTCAAGTTAATCGGTGTGGGATGGCAAGAGTCAGTAAAATTAAAAAAGAAAGCAAATTATTTTTATATCACGTGTCTCTTTCATGGCCTACAAACATCCGGAGCAACTTTACTTGAATGATATCTATCCAGTGTTATTGATTCTCAATTTGCCATTTGAATTTTCCTGCGTCTGAAATATAGCTCACTGGATAGTGATACTGAACAACGCATGACAGCAACAACAACAACAACACATAATAACAGTAACAATACATAATTTGTAAGACCTCAAATGCAACTCCGACTGTTAGGTTTCGATAGTGATTTTTGTTTACCATTATCTCATATCATCGTATATCGTATTGCGAAAATATAAGAATGGCTAATGTAATTTCTTTAATATCACGGCACGTAATATTCACAACAAAACGTCCATGCCGAAATTCTTCTATCCGAAAGATCGGAGGATATTAGACCAAACAATTAGGAAAAACGACGTCTGAGAGGACCCTGAACATATAAAAAGAGAGAATTAGTGTCTACCAGATAGAGAGACGGCTTCTGTCACAATGCAACACAGTAATAGTTGCACAATGCTGACCCCTGGGAGTGCGGAGGATAGACAGGTTTGGTGAGCTTGTGAGTCTACTCAGATTAGGCAACGTCAATCGCAGGCGACAGATGTGCATCACATATTTTTGACCACCCCTAAAAAAAGACCCAACAATTAACTGCATAAAAATAACCGAATACGTCGTAAATTAAATGTTTGAATAATAGCGATCGAAGCAAACTTTGCATACAACAGACTATTGTTTCACGAATATGGCAATAATATAAAAATGGCCTGCCAATGTCTGCAAGTATCAGTGCAACATCCGAAATTGAATTCTCGAAACCATATGACTTTACATTTGGTATTGAGCTCGAAGAAACCTAGGCTGTATTGAATACCAGTGGAGTGAATGATAGCAATATGTTCGACAAACCACTACCCGAAAGTAAACGAGAACCGGACTAATCGGAAAAAAAAAAACAAAATAGGAACAAATAAAAATACCTTTCTACTAAGATGGGCGGTTCACTCGAGTACGATTGCTGCGTGTTCGTCTCTCGTTCCTAATTAACCGTTCGTAATTAATCAAGACATTTGATGTCACTTATCTGTGGTATATCGTGGCGTATAAAAATTGCTGGACATCACACGCAAAATTATACCTAATTTTGGTTGATCTATCCAGGCATCAAATGGAAATTACCTTCGCCAGTAGGTAACCGTTCCCTGACAAGATAGCTTCCGTGAAGCGTTAATAAAACAAAAAGAATACGGTACATAAAAAAGTCGAGAATGTGTTGACCTATGAATTTCTAGGAATTATTTTTGTTTGATCGTCTCCATTAGCTCGGCCTGAAGTATTTCAGTTATTACAGTCAGGGTTACTTATCTACCGAGACGTGGTTACGTATTCTTTACGAATGACTCGGACACATTACATCGAAGATGGGGCTTTTTTATTATTAAACAACGTATATAAGCAGTTATTGTTTGCATGGGTTTACTACATGAGGCCACAAGAGGGATATCATATAAGGCTATAAGAAAACAGGTGGCAATAAGTAGGACAACTTTAAACGAAAAGATTCAGATCAGTAGCCCTTTGGGCATTCAATGGACTGCATAACGCAGTGCAATTTGAAGTTTGATGGTTCTATCAAAATACATTATTTAAATAAATGTTTTCGTGTATTGATCATATATCTTTCGTAAAAAAAAAAGACCAACATTGCTAAATATCACGGAACAATCTTTGAAACTCCTGTGCGAGAAGTTAGGAGATCGATACTTCAAACATGAATATTACTTAAGACAAACAAGCATTCTTTTAAAGTTAGAAAATGGAACCTTTTCATTTTCTACCAGATAATACATTTAGACGGGAAATGTTATTACATCATGACCTATTTAAATTTCCTCAGTTAAATAGCTGCTATATCTCCGGCTACGGTGTTCATAAATCGCCTACTATCAACGGAACTAATATTGATTACGTTATAGCTACAGTCAAACTATTGGTTATTGCCTAATAAACCATTATTATTAAGAAACCGAAGCGTGCAACACTTCAACATCGGCAGTGTCTTTTCTTTTGTTTATTCAAATTTATACAGAAAACACTCTGAAATGTTATCCATTCCGATGCCTTCAACTTGAGTACGTCCTGTTTTTCAGTTACTAGATTCCAGTTCGGATTTAAATGTCGATAGAGGGAATGTGCCAAATTAAATCAACCGTATCCATCAAGCCAACAGCCAATATATCGAACGAAAGAGCAGGTATCATTAATAATCGATAACGATACAACACAAACAGTGAAACATAATTTAAGTTGTTATGATTGTTTTGGTGTTGTTGACAATTATGGTGGAAGGAGAGTTTAACCAGTCTCTTACGTTAACGTTAAGGTCTGGTGATGCGCGAAACTCTGTATGCAGTTGTGTATTTTTCTTTTAAGTTAAATTAGGTAAAACTTCAAATTTACATGTTATCATCTGTTAATAATTGTTTTTTTCCATAAGCGCAATGTACAGTTTTATCTTGTACGCTTCTGAGTCGAGCGATTTTTGGACTTTCAAACAGAAACGTGTCCATGAACAAAAAATTAGCTGATCAGCAAGTTTGGCGACGCCCGAATTCGACACATACACCATCCAGTCAAGTGGCATGCATTTCTGCACTTTGTTTCGTATCGTGGTGAATAAAGAGCTCTAGATCTTGGCGTTTATATGAACAGGAGCACTCGTGAAACATTTCTCAACACAGCAAGATTATTAATACGCATAATAGTTACGGTCTATCCGAGACGTCTGTGTTATTCATAATAGTGATAAATACAATTACATTGCTTTGCTCTATTGTAGGAATATTGCTCTGACTAGTTAGTCCTGCTGTCGAGTGTTCTGGGTTGGAGGGTTCATAGCGGCTGCAGTTTGGAAAAAATGTACAATTCGTCTTACTGGGTCCGTTAAACGCATGTTCACCTCCATAGATTGAAATTAACGCATAAATATCTTTCTTCTATAACACGTGTTCATGCTAACTAATCGTGTTATCGAGGTGCGAAAAACTGCATAAGAAAAAGAATCACTCCTTTATTATTCATGACCAGTTACATGGGATTCGTAGGAAAATCGATACAGATGACATAATAAATTCGAGCCAGATTAAAATCGAGAAAAACGAAAACAAGTTTTTTTCTTAAATATTTGCGCTTCATTTAAATACTCTCTTGAATGAATGAAGCTCTTACTTGTTTATTTAGATTCATTAGACATCATCAGCATGCCTCTTAGGTGCTGGGCAAATCTATGTATTGAGAGTGTTTTATGAAAAACTATAGGACTCGGTCGGTCGACTTTTCTGTCGCCATCTCTATTACTGATGTATAACTTACGTACTTGATTAGTCACTGTCAAGTTGCTTTAATTTTTGGAAAATCAAAAGAATGTAGATAGTATTAAAAATGCTACATTTAATTGTGAATGGTGAGAATTTTTTTAAGAAAACTGTTGGCATGAATGTCTAATCACATAATTTACATTTTCCAAGATCTTCTAATGAAGTATGACCCTCGCACAGATCTAGCTATTTTGATTGTCCTTTACTTGCATTAAAAAATTGTTCATTAGGAGAAGAGCATACTACAGAAGAAACACTGCCGTCCCGACTTCTCAAACAATAAGTCCAATTGTTGAAAGTTTGCTGATCCTTTATTTACAGACCGTTGGGTTTCTAGAGGCACACTTTTTAGGTTGTTTAATTTGCGTGGGCTTATATTCAAACTCATACCACAAATATATTATAATACGTATACTAATAGTTCTAAAAATAGTATTTAGGTCAGGTTGTATAACATATGGCGGGTTTTGGACTAGCAATTCTGTTCCTTTTACCAATCGTGTTTAACAATGAGAATACTCAGATATAGTAAGATTATAATGATGCGTTACCGTCTTCGATCGTAGTAAACCACAGCTAAATCCACACCAAGCTCCGCATCTAATAATTGCTAATTAAAAATTGGCAATCCTACATTAGAGATTCTATTAACTGTTCAAGCCTAAAGACGCCGTGTTATATAGAAGCTCTTTAGTGTAGTATAGAATAAGCGATTGGATGAACTTCTAATTTCTTCAGTAGCGATATTAACACGTCGATTATAAGTTTTTTGACCTAATTTGTACCGAGCTTGAGATGCGAATATCTCAGACTATTTGAAAATATAATAATGAGAACCTTATGGATGTATGAAAATAACGACGTTATGATCCTAATATTGGAAAGTGCATCTATATCGGTACCTGTAATTGACTCTATCAAATTAAGTTGCAATTTTACAAGGGTAGTCGATGAACTGAATTTCTACGTGAATTCCTTTTTGTAGTTGACATGTTGGCATTCAGTAGTTAGGAGCTCGTTTGCAAAGGTATTACGGTCGGCTACAGGTTGTTTCCTATGGCCTTCAAATCGAGCTCTGCCCTTAACTACATCAACTGTAAAAAAATATGTTGCATCACATTATAGGCCATATCGAACGGACGAAAGCATCCTTAATCATATTGCGAATCTACTATCCTTAGTTGGCTTTAATCCTCGTGTGGCAGCTCGGATGATCAATGCGACGATTGGTATTATGTGGCTATTTTATATTCTTCAGTTTTCTACCATTGTACTAAGGTGACTTATTACAATTTTAAGAAGATAGGTTTTAAGAAAAATCCCGTTTTTGTAATGGGTTCTCTTCCACAGTGAACTATTGCACCCCCATACACATGATGTTTAATGCTTGCAATTCATTGCTGGCCGCTTAACTGGCACTATTTAAGTGATTTTATCAGTGCGAGCAAGCTACAGATCGCTTTGAACTAATATTCAATACAGCCTCCAATGAGTAGGCTACTAAAGTGCGAAATAAGTCATAAAGATAAACTAAAAAAGCACATTTTCATCACTATTTAACGGTTATCTTTTTTCTACGATAAAGTTATATTTAAGCTTAACTAGTATTTTCTATATATTTTATAAAGAAAACTCAAGATGTCCTTTGGTAGAACTGTTTATTCACAGAACCTCCACGGCTTTTTCATCTGTGCATTTGTTTATCATTCTCAGCATTATCAATAGTATTTATTAACTATATTTTTAAACACCTATGGCTCGTTTACCTCGCCTTCCGTTTTCTGCTTTGCTGTGTTTTTTATTATTAAATTCGTTACCCTTCGTACTACCCAAATCGGCGGCCCAAAAGTTGTTTCTTTTTAATTCAGCAAACACTGCAACTGCATCAATAGGATCAATAGCCGCTGTCCATGGGTTACTGACAGTGAAGAACCTCATGAAATGTGCGTCCTCAATGCGCGATGTTGTGCACTGGTACCAGTAGTTAGATCGAGGAGGGCAACAGAACGGAATGGGCAGCCGCCTACTCTTATTGTTGCTGGTATTGTAGTTATGATTGTGTTCGCAGTTGTAGGCGAATTTTTCAGACGAGACGTTGTTGATAGAATTGGATAGCTTCTTTAAAATCGATAGAACGTCCAGCCTGCCCTAGTGTATTTCTTCGTATATTAGAGTAATGAAGGTAAAATTATGGGGGCTGTAATCGAATCATTTTCCGTTGATGTTTTTCTTTCTTGACTTGCTTTGTGCTTCCCCCATTTTCGCTTCATTCCCTTACTTTCAATACATTCAGACACGCGGGTGGTAATATTGCCTAAATGAACTTGCCCTCTACGAGCTTGAACCAGTATCCGCATTCACAACGTTTCGGCTCACCCTTGTGGAGCCACATGTAATTAATTGAGGCTGAATCTTCTTCACAGATGCAGCCGATCATACGCTTGTCAAGCATCGATGGGACGAGGTTGGGGTTCTCTTTCGTTCCCGGGCCGCGCTTGACGGCTTCCATGCCAAATGGATCCTTGTTGCCGGCCTGAATAGCTAGCATTTCGCGTTTCGCTATACCTGTCGAAAGTTCCAAAGGATCAGGGAACCGGGATCCTTTACTGTACTCACGCACGTATGCGATACAAGGTGCGGGTCGAAAGCGGCTAGCACGCAATGATAGATTACGAAGGAAAAGGTTCATTGTGAACACTTAGGGTGTAGCAAACGTACTTCACGAATCACGCTACTTGACTCTTAGGCATACAGCCCGACTAACTTTGCGGTCGTCGGTCACACTGCTTTGATGCCTAAGCAAAGTCCTTGCGAATGTACTTTTGGGGACACAAATACTGCACTTTCCAATGTCCGTCAATTAAACTCGTAGAGTATCCTCTACAGCGGATTGTAGCGGCGCGACCAAGTGCTTGATCAACACCACGAAGCATGTTACTATTGCTCAGTGCTCAATTTACATGTGTAGAGCTTTTTATTATAATATAACTTTCTTCACAGGAAGCTGATTCGAAATCAGGTTTTTCATCAAAACGTTTGTTCTGTTAAAGATATTTTGTACGTCATCTCTGCTAGCAGTAGTCATCTTGAAGAACGACAAATTAACGGAACCGTTCGCAGCAGTTACTTGATTAGACCAGATTTGGCGCGAACTTTTCTAACATGATTGTGGCAGCAGATGCCCTCTCGACGTTTTCGCCCCGATAATTCCTTAGATGATACACAGGGTTTCTGTGTGGAATGATCTCGTGTAGGTGCACTGAGGATATCGTGACGGTATTAGAAAGTACAGCATGATTGCATGCACTGTTAATTGTACATATGTAGTTTGACGTATGTTCCACTTTGGATTTCTGGTCGTCGGCCGGATACTACAGGCTGTTTATGGATGTAACCAGTTACCTTATCGGTGATTTATTAATAAAAGCTTATACATGTATTATTTAACAGACTCTAACATTGCCTGAATGGCTATCACGCAAACTAGGCGCGACCGCCAGCAATTCACAACGGGCGCAAATAGAAACATATCGAATACATCGAAGGTTACTGCAAAAAGAAATGCTGGTATGTTTCTCACTAGATTTTTTTACACGTATTCTGAAATCATGAGATTAGTAATCTTTTGTTAAAAATATTTAATGTTACAGCCTTATGCAGAGTAGACTTTACTACTGAGGTGTTTTAGGACATTCAGCTCTTAAACTTTAGACTCCATATGTCACTGTCGTAAATTTGGACATTGTATTTGGATCTTGAGAATGTGTATATGTGTTAGCATCGCGGCTGAATATGCATATCACGATTAAGTATAGGTGTTGATTTGTTAACATTGATCCGAGTAGTTTGACCTGGACAGTAAAATCTAATTGCTTACCCCTCACAAATGTTTAGAAAATGTGATTTTTTCTTTCTTACATGTAAGTTGTTGTTGCTAATAACAGCCAAGTCAAATTTTCGTAATATAATCGATAACTTTACCCTTAAAAGCTTCCTTGCATTTGAATTTCAACAAAAGCACTGCGATTGTGTTACTGTATTTTACTAGGGACATATTCAAAGCGTCGGAATCTACTGAAGCGACCTACCGGCAAACACAATAGACGTTCGCTGATTGACGGTGAGGAAAAGGCCGCTGACAATGTGCTGCCTACAAAAAATGCTAAGGAAATGCCAGGACAAACTGATGCAAGGTCGAGGCAATTGGAGAACGAAAAAGCGGAAGATGCGAAACACACCAAAGTCCGAACCCAAAATAATGGTAAAAAAGTATCACTTGTAACCAACGCTAGATTAAAAGAAATTTACGATGAAAGTGAGGAACTTGTTGAGCCGGATCGGAGTCCTATAAAAGCCAAACTGCTGTGTTCGCATGCCAACTTAGCGGACGCAATTGTAAATAAGGCTGCCCAAAGTTCCAAAGGTCGTACTGAAGGAGCTACATCTTCAACGATAGACAGCAAAATAGATCATGAGCCTATTCATGCTCAGATCATAACCACCAAAGTAGATAATGGTAAAACATCAGACTGCGATCTGAGCAAATCGAATCACGAAACTGCGAAAAATCATGCGGAAGCGGGCATCTGGCCTGAGGAGGAACTACCTCCATCAGAAGATACAGCTAAACTAGCAACGATACGCAGCGTAGCTCCGTCAAAAAAGGTGGTCCAATCTCGCACAAATGGAACCAAGCGGAGGAACTCTGCTAGGTCCATTTTGACGAACAGATACGGAACGAGAAATGCTAGAAAACGCATAGATCAACAAGCACCGCCTGTTGTTGTTATTACTGATACAGACGAGGACTCCGATAGTCATCAAGAGATAATCTCCAAAACTGCTTCAGAAAACGACGCTAGTATTGGGTCGAGTGAAAACTCCGCACCTAAGGGTACAGTTTGCATGTGTTGTTTGTAGAAACTACACTTTAGAGGAAAGATTGATAAAGCCTTTATTTTTGATTGTGATTACATAATTAGTAATTGATCGACTGGTACCTGCTTGAAAATGGTAGATTATTGCAAACGGCCTTGCTTATTATTACGCATGGGCAAAACAAACTAGTCACTTTTATTTTTTGAATAGCTAGCACAAGGAAAAATATGATGGACTGTAATTCTTTTTCATCTGTTTGTGTCTATCTTTATATGTAAAGGACGGACGAAGATGATACCGAAACCGAAGAGCTCTTACGGTGACAGATTTTCAGCCTATTCGCCTGAAGTGACTGAAGCATCAGAGCTAACTGAAATGGACGCGCATATAAATGATGCGAGGACAGCAGCTAAGAGCGCATCGACCTTTTTAATAGAAGAGCCAGATACTGCTAACGGTGAAGCCAATCGCGCACCTTCAAGACAATTCGGCTTACGTGCATCAGTGGTCCAAGCTTCGCGTAGTGGTAGCGTCGAAGAGGCTGGGACTAGTGATATTGAGTCGAAGAACCCAGAAGAGAGTCAAAGACCTGGCAGGGCAGCAGATGGTTAGTTGAGCACGCATTTAACATTAAATTTTGGTATTTTATCTAGTAGATAGTCATTAGGATCTTTCCGAAGCGGTAATGCGGACAGTATGTCAAAGCCAGTCTTAACACAGATATCTCAAGGTAACATGCGAATCAATTTTATTTGGTAAAAGTGCAACTTAAGCATTGTTATTTTAGGATGCTGTTCAAATAGGTGCCTTTTTATTTGCAAATTTGCGCAGTCTCAAAGGGAGCTCCTCCAAAGAGCTTCTACGGTAACAAGGCCTCATCAGATCGCCTCTCACCTGATGCTGTTCAGGAGCGACTTCGTGCATTATCATTTACTGGTCGGAAAAGCTTCATTCCCACGCCAGCTAGTGAGCGAGTGCTGGCAAAAGGTCGCAAAGTAAAAAAATACGTGGGTACTAAAGCGAGAAAGACGGCTCCAGCTAAAACAGCCCCGCTGAAGAAACTGCCAAAAAAGGTAGTGGCAGGTGTCATCGTTTTATTTTTGATGGCTATTTGTTACGTTTTCGCTGAAACTCGAATAAGAGCTCATGACATGAAAAAGTTGCTTGTTCCTAACGCACACGCTAAAAAAGTGGATGTAATTTGAAATAACGGCAATTTTTGTCTACGAATTATCCATGATAAGAAAATCACGATTTTCGAGTGAGAAGGCGAATTAGACAAAAGACAGTTTTCATTTAAGTAAGTGCAGTCAATGTTATAAAAGTCACTAAGTGAATTGTTCTTATCTATAGGTGATTAAATCAAGTGGATGTTGTAGGAAAACTAGGCGCACATCCAACGAAGTTCGAGATATGCCGACGTCAATCATTTCGCTAAGATCAGAATCTCGACAAAGGCACACCAGAAATAGGTTTTTTAAGCATCACCACCCGGTGTCGAACGTCAAGGTTTATTATCAAGGAGGAATTCTTAAGGTAGCACCGCACGTTCCCCTTGCCACATGTAAAGGACCTATTGACTTCGACTATAAAGAGGATAATATTTCGCATGTGGCTGAAGAGGGTGGCAAATGCGACAATTTCGGCCTAGAAAGTGTCGACGATTTGGAACGCTCGGGAGTCGTGTCTAGGGCAAGTCTTTCCAGAGACGGTCTGCGTAAACGAAAAGCTCCGATTCTAGAAAATACGAAAGTTAAGCGTAAAAGACCATCATTGTGGCGCTACGAGGATAAGAGATCGCCTGTCAAAAGGATTCCGGCTGGGCTTACGCTGAAACAGTATGAAGACGCTTTGCTCAGGGAGGAATTTAACTTTCCCAGTGTCTGGGTACGTCTCGAGAGATTACCGGAAACCAAACCCCAACGTAAGCGAAGGCCGGCTATTGTTCCCAAGCGGCTTTCGATGGAAATGAATTTATCTAATCAGTGTCCAATGGAAAAGCTTGTTCCTATAATTGTACTTCGACGAGTCGACTCACCTAGTAAACCTGTACAGCACTACACGGTGGGTGAACCATGTAGCCCACTGAAGCCTAACGAAGAACGTCACGAACTTATTGAAGAAGGCGCACCAATGGATGATGATACCGTCCGTGCAAGTTCTTCAATGGCGGGTTTTGCACCAGCCTCGCCCTGCCTTTCGCCTTCACCGGAAGGTTTCCAATTCCAGACGCATTCAAGTCCGCAACAAACCTCAACGCCTTACCTAACTAAGCAAACAGCTGTGCCTATACCATCTGTGGAAAAGCCCCCATCACGACCAAGAGTCGTGCCTAAACAATACAATCCTGCAGACGATGCTTTTGGTTTTGATAATATTGACACGCCACCTAGATATCGTGTGAGAAAAATGGTCGAATCGTTGTTTGTAGTAAATTCCCCTGAAAAGAGACCCAAGGAGTTGACTCCGAAAGTGGCGAAAATCAGTCAACCTACGATCAATGCCGTTTTACAGAGAAGGTTGACGGGTTCAGCGCGAACTCCAGCAAAAAACGGCAAGTTCATTTTTTTTTATTAAAAAATATTTTATAGATTCCCTCACGTTGTCTTCTCATACGCGTATACTTCAACTATATATTGGCCCAAACAATTGTAGTTATTGTTTTGTCCGTGCCGATATTCTCGAAAATAGATTTTGTGTGCTCCTTTCTGATTGCTGACTAAAGGTAGTGATGACTACGAATCTTGTCCTAAAGATGTCCTGTTTCTAAGTAGTCTTTTTGTACGCAGGTCCATACATAGCTTCAACAACTATGTGTATTGTCAGACGAAACTTTGCTTTTTTAACAGTCTTTACTATTATTTTTTGTCGATTTTCATTACAGATACTGCAACTGTTCTAAGTCCTTTCTGTCGGCAGTTAAATCCTCAAATGACGTCGACACCCTTTGAGCCTACTGAAAGTGTCAAAGGCAAACGTGCATGCAACTTTTATAGTAAATCTTCCTCAATTTTTGAAGAACCGCCAGCAGTTGCGTCACAGAAAGAGAAAAATGGCTTCACTGGCTTCAAGCGGCTGCTTGATCGATTAGGTAAACGGCAGCTGCAGATCGACGCAGGACAAGAAAGGTTTGGCGCAAAGACATGTACACGCTGTGGAATGATCTTCTCTCAAGGCGAGGCTGACGATGAGAAACAACACGAGAGGTTCCACAAACAGATGCTTAGTGCAGTGCGTTTTAAGGTAAGCACTGACTGCACTCAAAATGGCCACGAGCGTAATATAATATAGCATAAGGTAACATTCAGGAAACACTTAAATCTCTGTGGTCTTTATAATGAAGTTTCATTATTCGCTAATAAAGATAACCAAGAAGAAAATCTCGCTCAAATTTGTTATTAATTCAACAATTCATCTGCTGCATTATAGGACTGGAAGAACATCTACGTCGTGGACATCGTACCTGAGTTGGGAACCGTGTATTTAATGAGTCCACAGGACGCCAAGTCAGTAAGAGATAAGGTGGAAAAGGTAATGAAGTTTGCTAACCACTCGATTGGTTTCGATTGGGAGTACATCAAGGTTGACCCAGTCAATCACCCAGATCGGAGGTATGCGGTATTTGGGACTAATTCAGGCAAATTGGCCTCGATAGTTGTCATCGAACCCTGGACGAAGGTACGAACAATTTGTCTTTCTTTAAAAAAGTGTTTCTATTAGCTTATTTCTTTTTTAAAGTGATTAAGGTTCAAAGCCCAAGGCATTTATTGCAGATTAGACCTCAATACTACGATCAAGCACACAAGAATAAAAATATTGTATTCCGTTAAGCAGGAAGTGCGTGTATTAAAAGCAAATAGCAATATTTAGTGGCAAACTTTCGCACAAATGTACATATCAGCGATTTCTCTTTTTCAAATGGCAGTGCATCATAAGCGAAGCTGCATAGATGACAAAACTTACTTGTTGTACACGAAAAGGAATCAGTGGGCGAAAATACATTCAGCTATATTTTCATTGATTTCTATATGATCATTTTTTCGACTTCCATAGGCTACTTTAGAATCATACAACGCGCATTAGTGCACGTAAACAAACTAAAATGTAACATATCAATAAAATAGGATCATTTAACGGCTAGATTAGGCTAATATAAGGCTATATCCTCAGTGCATGATTCAATACATAAAGCCCATAGCTCATAATAGGATGTTCACAACAGTTGAACACTTCGAATCTGAGTAGTATAATTATCGCATTTTAAAAATTAATTGGTTAAACGGTGTAGTTTTTTTTTAAAAATCTTACTTAGTGCATTTGAATTTCTGTTCTATATTTATCACAAACCTTTGATCCCTTTGATCCCCTATCACCTTTGATACACTTTATAAGATACTTTCTCGCTTCCTTCTTTCAATTTGATTCCGGTTTACAACACAAAAATGAAAAAGACTAACAAGACAATCATTTTATTATCATTAATGACATCAAGACGGTCTTTTGCTTGAATCGGCGGTATTAGTTTATATTAAGTAATCCATGATCTTTACTGCTAGCTTTCTTGCTCGCTGTCATCTAGCTATACGACGAAGAATCCAGTCTCCTAAAGAGCAACGCAGCTTCAAATGCTATTCCGCATGTTCCCTTCTATCGTAAATTAGTTGGCCAGAAAATAGCGTTTTGGGTGATGCCAGCGAGTGGCTTTTGTCTTCGCTTCTTATTACTCCCTCCTTCTCTATCTCGGCTGTAGCTGTGTTGGTATCCCAAAAGGGCCGTGCACTCAATGAGCGAACTTGTAAAGTATGATACCACATAATCGTATCGGGGCAAATAGGCTCGTGGCCGTGGTTACACTTCGCCGAATCCTGCCGTCGTGAACATTGGCTTTTCGACTGTATTAGTATTTCTCTTGAATTATATTACTGCTAATACTATTATAGTTGCCTCAATACAATTGACGGGGCACAAATAGCGACTGGAACATATCACTCCATGTCTGCTTTACTATGAGTAATTACTCAATGTTGCCCTGGCCTTATAGGGAAACAGGTTCCTTTCGGTCGATCATTTTGAGATGAATAAGCTAGCTCTTTTCTCGCTTACACAAGTAGTTTTCCGAGTAGCAAAAGTGACGCATTAGGCGACGCATCAGTGTTAACTCTGTATCCGGTTCAGTCGGGTGTAACTGGAATTTATTCAAGCCGGAAGCCTTCTGGTTTAACTCTGTGTCACTGATCGGAAGTTAGAAAACGTTGACCTGAAGGTGTATAAGGACAGGCCTAATTTAGTAGAAGGGACTATCGACTGTCTTACTAGAAGAATGCTCGACGCAAAGGTTATCGAAACCTTCGAGTTGGCTCAGAACTATAGGACGAACAGGAAGCTAAGGTCCTATTAAAGATAATCGAATGTCGCCTGTTCTTCTACGCTTAATTTTCGTTTTTCGTTTCCAAACCTGTGCTTTTGTCGCACATGACCTTCAATAATGGCAAGTTACTGTTTTAAATTACATAGCTCGATACCCTGCAGTTTCACCCATAGAAAGCAAACGCTGTTAAACTTAAATACCCACATACCATTACTTTACGACAGCGAAATTATACCTTGGTTTTTTGTTGAACGTCTGGTATGGCTGTTAGGTTTTTAATCAAATGGTTGGATTCCAGCACGGAACGAATGTGGGTCTATGCCCAGACTTGAATTCACGCCACTACATGTCCCTAACGTTGGCAGCCAAATACGATATCCATTGAACTATCATCAAGACCTTTGTTGAACACTAACTGTGTAGAACCTAGCTCGATTTCTAGTAGATAGCAGTTCCCCGAAAGGGCTATCTCAGTCAAATAAAACATGTTTTATTTGCGACTGACTGAGAAAATAACCAGTTATTGCTAGTTAACGTTAAAAACAGAAGCACACTTCAACAAAAGATTGGTCAAATTGACAATCACATTTTATATCCGTGAAAGCTTTACTTTTATTCGTGTAGCTTTCTGACTGCACAAAGTTCCAGTATTTTGAATGACAGTGTTACGAGTACATTACTTCCATAAGATGTCTGCAAATGACACTCGTGGTATGTACCCCGAAATTCATCCATATTTTGATCGAGACCGAATCACGAGCTGCCACTGTGTCTATGGTGGACTGTACGCATCCTTTTGAAGAACAAAAGAACTGGATGTTGTGAAGATTTTGTAAAGTCAACGCTTTCATTTTTTTATTAAAAATGCAGCACAATGAAATATCACGATCGCGACTGTGTATGCATTTCATTAATAATACCTAAATCTTTAACACGCACAAACATTATTATTAGGATTATCGGATTAACTTCGTATTGTAATAATGTAAAACGTGCTCCCATTTTTTGTTATTTTCAGGCGATTCGCACGCTTCCTGGGGATGAGCTCTTGGTGGAGAATGGTACCGTGTTCAATGTGAGTTATTCTGTTATATTCGCTTGGACTTTTCCCCCGTATCGGCGAAGGGGTTTGGCGTCAAGGCTATTATTTCATTTGCGGGTGCAGCTTGCCGGACCAGGTGAAGAGCCCATAGGCTTCAATCAGATCGCTTTCTCTGACCCGTCACCCGACCTACACAGGTTTGTAAAGGGACTTACCGAATCCGAAACCTACCTGGTAGCCATCTAGAAATCCTCCGGTGATTTTGAAACAGGAGATCCATAGTCATTTAGTGGAAGCCGGTTAACTCGTTTACACTGATGAGGCAGACAAGATTTTGAAATGGTTTGCATTTGACAATGTTGAAACTTTAATTAAGTGATGTACGAAACGAATAAGTGGCTATAATCGCACGAAATCTACATAGTATCAGAACAAGACCACACAATAGCCATAACACGGCAATGCTACAAATATTTACGGGACAAAGATGAAAACGCTATTTTTTTTACGTGACCATAAACAAAATCAGTACTACGTTTTGATGAAATTATCAATAGTATTATGCATCCATATACATGACTGAAGGCACGACATGACTGAGTACGATTTCTTCTTTTAAATTATAGCCAATTACAAGATCGTGTATACAATGTAGTTTAGATTACAAATATTATGGACGATTAAGCGCATGCTGTGAAGTACTGTAACTTAGTTAATCATGTGATGATCATTAATAATACTGACAATAAATAGAACCAATACGAATATAATGCCTGGATTTAAATACCGTTTGTCACACACATATACAAGTGTGTGTGATATATATAAAATCGGAACAAAGTATAGTGGTAAACATTGCTACAGCAGCCACAGTGCTATACTATATCAAAAATATGAGGGTTGATACCAAATGGCAAAGGTGTATATGTTGCACAACAATAGAAAACATTACTCTTTAACTAGACGAAACGAGCAGTTTTGTGGTACTAGTCGGAGAAAAAGATCCTTGCGAGTAAAGCTTAGCTACTTTTTAAATGGTTCTAAAAAAATGTGAAATTCCCATTGATATTTTTTTGTAGAACAAACAGCTATCCCATTGTGAGCGGGCCTGTTCTTTTAACTTAGGTAAGTTTAGACGATGCTAAATTATTTAATCGCATTTACGGGATCGTGGGTTGTGTTGCAATGTTATTAAAGTACAGTGTTTACCGTGAGGTGTAGGGCAGACCCAAAGCTCATAGCGAAGTGCCCGCATTAATTGATTCAAGTACTTCAATCCGTTGTATTAGAAGCCGACGTGAAGTGAACAAAAATAAGACGGGAAATAAAATGAAATGTTGACAATAATGGAATACGAACAAGTATTGAAGATACCAGGAACGAAGGTGAATAACGGCTCAAAATGTCACGTTTATTATCATACAGAATTTCGTGTCCAGCTTATAGACTGCAGAGATTATGTATAGTCCTTATGTATTTTCGATATTGCAATTATATGCGATATTTCATAATAAGTATGTTCAAACACACAAATAACTGAGTCTGTATGAGCTTTATTGATGACTCGCCTACATTGCGTTATTTTTGCCTTTAAAGTCATGGAAGAACAAGCTGCTTGCCGAATGAGTACTTTCGTTGTCTCCAACAAACGAAATCTCGAGTAGTCAAGTGTCTTTTGCAATGTCAGTTTAGGCCTTCACATCGCCGACCACATCCCCAAATTGTCTTTAGGGTCGACTTTTTTCAAAAATTTTTAATGTGATCAGTTACCTTCCTCTGTTCTTTCCTCTATTGCGTGTTCAAGACGTGTTCTTTTCTCCACGATCTTTCACGACGGTGCCGGTGTTCTCAATATATGAGGTGAAATATACGCGATTTTTTCAATTGTACAAGGTATAACCGCTCTCATATTATCAAAGTTTAATGCTAAAGCCGAAAATTGTTATCGTGTTTTGTCCTCGACGTCGGAATAGAATGCATGATCTTCCGTTTTGTAAAACTCGAGGTAAAAACGTTCGAAATTACGTTAGCTAACCGTCGCTTTAGGCGGCTGTGAAACTCCGAATGATATTCCATCTCACTTGATAAGTCGAAGTTTAGACAGGTTATCAGTGCATTACCACGGGGACAAACTACACACGTAACAAGTGTTTCCCATAACCTGAATAATATATGTATGTGTATTGATATACCGAACGGGATGAAGCAGTGATAGTACAGTATTGTTATGCAATGATTTCAATGGGTTGAAACTGTATTATGATATCTTCTTAAATGAAACAGCAATCGAATAATATTATACGGCGAACAATAATCACCATGACAAGAACGACCCACAACGAAATAACAATAAAAATCTATTGCGTGTAGCCATTAAAATCACTTGTGTATTACTACTAGTTAGTGAAAAAAGCATTAATGATAACGGCATTTTTTTTATACAACAAGTTTAGGTAGCTGAGAGCTCCAAAAGCAAGCTCCTTTCAGAGAGTCACCTGTATCAATCGCGGTAACGACCAATTTATACATAGGAACGTTGTATACCCATCTAAAAAATACGTACTGCTAGAAATTGGCAAAGCCAGTTGCTCGTGTACACATCTGCCTAAATACTGGGATGCACGCGTATTCAGTTCAGATGAGTCAACGAACCTGTTCCTCTTCTTGAAGCTATTTTGAGGAACGAGTACATCACTGTAGTAGGGCGGTGAGTGGCTTAAAAAAATGCTGAAGGAAATAGTGTTCTTGATGGACCGGTATTTTAGTTTCTCAACAATTTGGAACTTAAGCTTTAGGTAGCTTTGGGTTGAGGCCGAGGATCCTTCTCAGACGAAATTTTGCACGATCGTAATTACTAAATAATTACGCTTTTTTTTCTTTTAAAAACGGTCTCCGGGTTAGCTTTTAATATTGTGCTAATTCTACTGTGTACATCAGAAAATAGTCAGCAGACCCCTCTTTGTTTTTTACGGTAGCTTGCTACCGACAGTCAAAGTACAAGCCGATATAAAAAGCAGGTTTATTTCGCCACGGGTCTATCATAATCAACAGTATCAATAGGTCGACAATGTTTGCGCGGTAAATCTAGTAAGGGGTGAACACCCAGAAAAATTAAAACCCCGCACGATGGGCAAAACGCAGTCGCTGCTATCGCCGCTAACCAAAACGCATATTGGCACCATCAATGAAGTGCAACCATTATGTCTCCACGGAACTCGGTGCACATGACGGCATGTTTTGAGAAGAGGAGGGCCCAGGATCACTAACGGCAGAAACTTGTCGGCTGTGGGGGAAAGGCAGATTCTCGTGAACGCGCGCCTTCACGCGCCGCCTAGTCTCTCACTCATACCAAGTGACTGCTAAACGCTGTTCGAGTAAGCGGTGAGGGTGCTTTTCTCGCCCTTGAAAAGATGAGAACCGCGGCGGCGCTAGCGATTGTTGCAGGGGTAAGGATAACGCCATCAAGCAGTGACAATCTGGAACAAAGCGTGGTTCCAGAGTCGTTCTTTTTAGAGAAGAACTGATTTCGTTGCATTCTGTTTAACGCGTAGAACACGCACCCTCTAGCCTGCCTTAGTGCAGGCATCAATTCAGGACTCCATTTTTTTTAAATTTGTTCTGGACACAGCTTTTAGTCGCATTCTGATTAGCCAATTCGATTCAAAGTGTCGTAACTAGGTCGTTTCGTGGAGCTTGGTATTGACAAATGAGTTTTGTTTGTGTGTGTTTTGCGTAATTTTAAAGTGGATAGTAGTCGTGGCTGCATAGTTTCTCTAAGAGTTGCGATATTTACAACGAAAGTACATAGATGCACCTCTAGCCGTGTAAAAGGTATACGCTTACAGTATAATTCTAAAGAAGAGCAGGTCAAAATTCCCTCGGGGTACGCGAATGCTTTTTTCCATCTGCTTAACAACAAATCGAATGACAGAACCTGAAAGTTGTAGTTTTAATACACAATACGGTTTTCTGCATCTGTCAAATAGCGGTATAACAGACAATGGCATATCACCCACTGAATACGTCCTGGAGTGAGGCGATTTCGCTAGTGATACTCATTGGATTTCTTTCAAATGTCGACGCTAAACCCCGTAAGTATTAGTTTTTCTATCTCTACGTATCCCTGGACGATTGGTTTCGGAAAATTTTTATATATATATATATATATATATATATAAAGGCAGTTCGGAGAGACATTAACAAAATATACAAGGTGGGGGCAAAAGCCTCGTGGCAATGTTAGGATATTCATTTTGGTATGTACAGTTCGTATATACATGTGTGTTCTATGAACAACATAACCTAAATTGGTCAAGTGATTATTTTTCAAGCTGTTAAGAAACGTTTTTCCCTACTCTTTATTTTTACCGCATAACATTTATTTGAAACTGACGACAGGCTTTTCGTGTTTATTGCTCTGTTTGAACGTTCCAAGCAGTGATAAGAAACCGTATAATTTATATTCCTGATGTTTCGCCATTCACAATAACTAATATACTGAAAAAATTTTATAGCAATTAAAATCGCATGACTCTTTCATAATTGGCACGCTTGAGTGTCTTGATTGCCGAAAAGAACGTTTTCGTCCCTATCGTTAGTAGTCCGTGTGTAAGAACAAAAAAACATCTGTGTTTCTCGAACTAGTAACATCTGTCGTTGATGTGGTAAAAGAAAACATCAATGAATAACTCGGAGTGACAGAACTAGTATAGAAGGAACAAATTTCGTGTATTTAATAATAATGTGTCATGTCAGGGCACGGGTCCAGATACAGAAGATTTCGTTCTACCGTAAGCTTATTTTCTTATCTGCGTGTTAACTAATTAGTAAAAAGTCCATCTTTTAGCAGTTAGCTTAAAATGCCGAACGCAGTATCTGTTCGCTTATATCCAGCGTAACTTTTCGTAACAAATAAGACACGGTTTGTAGTCGATGACCTATCACCCCGTAGAGCTGCAGGCTAATACGAACCTAAGGAAAAAATGATTTCATTTCGCTAGCTCTAGAATGTGAGAAAGGCTCTGCATTCTGGTGAGAACAACAGTAATTTGTATCGTAGATAAGCACTGTAGACACGCATGCATCAAACGAACATATGGCAATGTCTGTTATTTCTAGACAATTTCAAATTATTACTATAGAGAAATTCTAATTCCGTAGGGGACCTTGTTGTAACGTGGTCTATCGCTAGCTGGTCGAGCATACATTCGCTGAGATACTGTCAAAATTTTTGCGAGAACAGCGCTTTCGTATAATTGTAATTAACACACTTAAAATGACCAAGTAGACGATACAAAAAGCCTCTATTCTGTCACCATAGGACTGTGCTCGTCATAAGATGTCAAAGCTTGCTACGACAATAATTTCACGAACATAACCCTAGAAAGCCTATCGTCAATTTTTGAGAAGGTATATTAAATCGCCACAGTGGACGGCTTATCCTATAAAATCTTTCGTTATGTACTGTTAAATGTTTTGTATATTTGATCCCGTATGTATCCTACAACTATAGAGAAAAAAAAAATTGCATAGAAGTAGCTAGAACATGAGTGACTTGCAACGGCAAGCGTACAACTCTATAAGCATAAAAGCATGTTTTGTCTATCATCTAAAGCTATCGTCAATATTAGTTATAATAATACTAATTGATCGGTTAATTTACTTGACAAAGGGTTCCCTATAGATAATAGAGTAATAGATAATTTCCATACATTGATAGATTTGTATATGAACATTTTAACAAATCGGTGTCACACGCCCGGTCAGCCTTTTACCAAATATAGAGAACCTATTTGATGTCCATCATTCAAGTTAATTCGTGTTTGGCCAAGTCTTAAAATCGCTCGTTCAAACACAAATTTCGCTTTATAACTAAACACGTCTGAATAGTTATCTTGTTTAGCTGTAGTTACATGTCATCTCTCCACTCGGACATCAATGGACTCTCCCAAAAATTAAACTTCAATTCCGTAGAACAGACTACGTTTCGTTTCCTTTCTACTATGTTGACATTACGTCATTATATAACTCATCCTTTAACAACTATGGCCGATCGACCGTTCGGGGTCGTTACGAGCGCGGTACAATTTATACTTACTTTGTTTTTCTGTGGAATAATGACTCATGGCCGTATCAGATTACGATAAGGAGAACTCTGTAAATGTAGGATTTTGGTAAACTGTTTTACTTCATACCATTAGAAGGCTGTTGTAGTATTATATGCTACCTTGATATCGGATATCGAAGTTCCACGTTTTCATGACAGTTCTGCTCTAAATGATAAAGTAAAAATGGTAAAGTTTACTACCTAGGAGCTCGCATGTATATTAAAATATGCATGGCTGTCATGGAACATCAGACGACTGAAAAGCATCTTTTAACCGCTCCTGTCTGGCACTGGTAACCGATTCTAGATCGAAAATTGAACCGATAAACTTATAAAAACAATGGTAAGAGTGATGTTGATACAAAGGCCGTTAGGGAAGTTCGTTAGTTTAATTAATTCGATAGGTGAATTAGTAAATGACAAAATAGAAACTAAACCGATCGAAGACAAAATCGAAGCATCTTTTACATTATAAAATGGATAATATACGGCCAAATGTTTAGAAATTGGGTGGCAAATACTTTCCAGTGGTTAATTTTGTGCTAATTCGAAACTATTTCAGCAAAATACACCAACTGACTTATATTGTGCAGTCGTTTTATATTTTAGGAAGCGTAGGACTTTCGTGCCTCGCCAGAGTGATTCAAATGCTGAAAACATCGTAACAAACTATTAACCTGACAGACGCTGCACCTTCAGTAGACCTCAATTGGTGATAAACTTCTGTCAAATCGACTGCTTTTCTATTGGCAGTAATACAGAACGATATATCGTGCAGTCTTCAGGTAGGAACAACAAAACCCCCTACTGCTCTTTACTAGCAAATAGGAAATTACCAGAATATTACAGTATATTATGGTAAGGAACGTTACGTTTAATACTGTTAAGGCAATATCTAGTGAGATACCAGAAAGTGGTAGGGGTAGATCTCGCGCTAGTAGTCATATATTTATTCACACTCTCATCTCAGTCGTCTCAATTAGCTATTCAGTTCTTCAACGAAGCTGCCAGTATGTTTATTTACAGACTTCTATACAGCTGCCAACTAAGACAGAACGTGTGGTTTTGGCTTGGAAGTATCGCATGACTATTGTTTTGGATAGAGAAGCATTGCTTGAGACGCATTCAACACTAATATAATACCCGAATAATTAGGTTCAAAGCAAGTATCGTAAATATTGTAGGAGATATTTTCTATGTCAGCTTGTAAGCGTTCTCTTCTTTTCTACGCGAGTGAAATGAGACAAGCCAACTGAAGTTTCTGCTTGAAAAGCCGATGTTCTAATATGGGTATAAGTATTGTGCTGTTAGATACAGCAGTCGATTGACATGTACCCGCAACCAGGAAGGTGACGAAACAGCTTGTCGTACAGCAATGCATTTATTTATATTATTATTATATTATTTATATGGCACCTATCAACGGAAATTCTCAGATTCTAAATTTTTTAATGCACTCAAGGAGAAAAATATTTTGTGAAAAAGGCACAAATAGAGTTGTTTTGTACCTGCGTATAATTATGTAGTTTATCACAGAAAAAGACATTTGTTTTCGGCAGAGGTTCCTGATAGTACCTAATGTTTGAAGGCGTAAAATATAGGGTATTCACGAATAACCGACCAAGTACAACTTCCTTAGAGCGTTACGCAGCAGTAGTTGCGGATAAGAACGAGGTGCATTCGTAGGTGTACACACATTCACAAGAACTAATCAGAGCTTTTCTTTGTCTTGTCCTATTCTTCGATGTTCCAGAACGATGGATCGTCAGCGAAGGCCGTCCGGTTAAAGACAGCACACCCATACCACTAAGTAAGAGCGGGATAGGTCAGTAATTACCACAATGTAGATGAACGAAGGGGTCAAACTTTATTAGGTAATCTCAATGTGGCCCGCCTCAGTATGTCAGTGTTTATGTGCGTAGAACTTCAACTTTTTTGCTATTCTATCAACATTTTCAGAACAGTGGATATGCAATAGCTTTTTTCTATCTTTACAATTGATTAGACGTCCTTGAATTTGATTTCTGTGAAATAGAACAATCATTTACATGAAATTAGCACACATCTGACCAAAATCCTTGTCCAACGAAAACCTTAACTATGAACTAGTTGATACTCGCTTTTAGCGCGACATTACACATCGACCCAGGCGGTACGCGACACAGATGCTATCTTGTAGTTCAACAATATCAGTAAAAATATATAGTGAATAGTGTTCTTAATTAAGCTATTATTTAAGAATTTAATGGGACTGATAGGCCTGTTTATTGTGGTTTACCTATATGTCAATGATGTTTTCGATTTCTCAGTCATCATTTTGTGCCCTATATATTAGAATAATTTTCGACCTTTGTTTACTAGCCAGCCTATAAACTATTGATACTCAATGTAGTCAGATTCGCTATGAAGGCATGCTTCATCTAGCTTGCTCAGCGAATCTTAATTATTCTTTTATGCTAAATATATGAAATGATTTTATTAATTCATACATAATTTCAATAACCCTAGGTCGGATTTTTTATCTTGATTGCTGGATTGTCGGTTGCTTTATTGCAAGTCGTCAGTATGCCTGATGTCCGCGGAAGTAGCTTGATTCAATAAGCAGGTAGCTGTAAAATAAAAAGCGCTTTTGCTTTTTAGCGGTGACGATGTAAGCAAAGAATTTGTTTTTGTTTGCAGGAAAGTCCAAAAAAATACCTAAAACATATAATACTAAACTCTCTTTTATTTAGATACTAGACGTATTGCTTTTGCCAGGGGGTAATTATCCGCGGAAATCTCCGCCGTCCCGCGCGGTTCTAGCATCGAAACTCAATGAAGTCAGCAAGTTGATGCGGCCGTTACGTAAATGAAAATAATTAGGGTTACCCTGAGTTCTAAGGCAAAAACCAATATTCGACATGTTAATATGAGTAACTTCTGCAAGTTATTAATAAAAAGAACATGTCGTAGCATTAACGTCACGGTGGGTGCTGAAATGCCGAGTGTGGAGGCAGGATTAAGCTTCGCCATGCGATGTATATACGAATAATAAGGCGAAGAGCAATTGATTTAGTTGCTGCCGATTTTTGTTAAGCAGACGCCAAACATCGATTTCGCAAAGAAACCTTTTGTTACCGAAACGCATTTTAAATCTCTACAGAACAACCCTGCAAGCTTTCAGAAACTTTATTTAGGCTGGCGTAGTAGTCGTTAGACTATTACGTCATTAGTATTTGTGCGTGACACCTCTACCAGAAAGGAGGGGCCAACTAACTATTCTAGACTAAAATGTGTGTACACTTCTTCGACGCACTGGCCCATTACGACGTGTAAATTGGCCATGTTTTCTATTCACTTGACAGGTCTTCTATTCCAAAAAAAGATAAAGGCGAAGGGCAACATCCGTTTATAGGTCGCGTTCTCTCATTTTAGATGGAAAGGTAAAGCGAAAAGACTATTACAAAATTGAACTATTATTAAAGAACTAGCAAATGGATGGCGGCAGCAGTGCTCTTACTATGTTTACTAACTGAGAATGAAAATGTTTCTATATTGGTTAACAGGGGAGAATGAAAATGTTTCTATATTGGTTAACAGGGAGGTCCGCGCGTGGTTGAATGGGGCAACACTATCCCTTCTAGGCCTTACCGTAGACGCTATTCAAATAATTGGGTTTCCGAGATGACCGTTTTAATGGCCGTCCTGATGTGGCCAATAGACGTGCGTTTGACGACACAGAGGCTAAATGCAACATTTAGTTGTAAATCTTGGCCGGTGTACGCATTAGAACATCTGGTACGGATGGCATAAGCTTAACTTGTACTACATTTCTATATTAATATTCCAATATATTCTGTCTTCCGCATTCTTACGATCTGATCACAGTTTTACACGACCGTTTATAGGTTGTGGACGGACGAGAAGTCTCTAGTAAGTTTGATCATTTTGTGGTGACGCATAAGAAAGGTTTTTTAGCAAACGCTTATTGAATATGTAAAATAATACTAAATCCTAAGACATGGCATTCGAGTTGTATCGTGATAATATTTGGAATGGACGGCTATTTGGTTCGCTAAATAGAGCTAGAACATTGCAGAGCTTTACCTTGGAATCAACAAACAACACCTATATTCGTCCCTCCCCCTTTTATTCGAAAAATATTTAACCACTCTTTAATTAGCTGTACGTGATTTTTGCTATATAGTAATACGACTTACATAGACAGTTGCCGCCTATTGAATTTTTGCTATTCATTTGCTGGTAATATTTCCGTATGCATTTCAATTTTTTGTTGGGGTGGGCAAAACGATCTTTGCTTAGGATTTCGAGATTTTCACAGGAGAAAGCAAGCGTCGCAGATCATACGACTTTTGCATTTTATAGCCGTTGTTGGAGTGTAGCATCTAAGCAGACAGCCCTTTGTCAGCTCGTCTAACAGGGCCGCCAGCAGATCCTCCGCTCTCATACCATCATACGGCAATGTTAGTGTTGGAAGAACGGCCGAATTTTTGTTGAGGGTAAACGCTTTCTCAATACTCGGCTTCAGTTGCGTTTTAGGAATTTGGAAATGATGCTCACTGAGTAGCAAACAGAATCGCCGAATCAAAAATAGTACCTGTTAAGAGTTCTTTACGCGTGCTATATAGAAATTATTTTGATTTTTTTCGCCGCTTTATTGGTACTTACGTATAACGTGTTCATATTTTGGGCAATCGATTACTTATTAAGGCGATAAAGGTACAACGTAGCCAAAGCAAACACTACACAAATCTATATTTAAATTGTGTTTTATATAATCAAACATAATTTAAATATAGTCTTTAGATTAGCCAAAAGCTTAAGTTGTTGCAAATAAATCTTCTTAGTACAGACCAATTGTTATTGTGAATTATTACTATTATTGCCAATTTTATAATACTTACCAGCCAAGAATTGTCAAGAAATTGGTACTTTAACTATGTACGAAATGTTTCAAACATATCGTTCTTAAACGTTACATATAAATGACCGGAGTCTGCCGGAATATAATTTGCAACCTGAAAACACGACAATTCTGTTCGCTCAGTTGCAATATCTCGAATAAGTTTCGTCCAGCATACACAAAAACGAACGCTTACATCCGTTGAAAGCTCTAAGAATTAACATCGACATCAACGACAGACTGAACGGTAGACATCTACTTGCAAGAGACAAACAAGTTAATAAACCCAAGTGGAACTTCTGCCGACAAACAGTGACATGTTTATTTAAAATACGACATCGTCTCATATTCCGACCTTTACCGACCACGTTCTTCCAATGTTTTCCTTCTCTGACGTTGCCCTTTGTATTAGCTGGTATTCGGTCGGATGACTTTTTTTTTCTTAATTATCTTCTATGCATGAAACAGCGACTGTGTGCGGTATGCTACCGTGAGTGCCACGAGCTACGAATCAGAAACACTTGTCATCTTTTTTCTGCATCTCTATACAGACTTGCTGTTTTCCTATGTGCACTCTCATTTCTCGTCCCGCCTTGTTTTTCATCTGCCAAGTTTTTAGGTAGATATTTCAACACCACACACAATATGCCTCTAGCTTCGTATATATTAGTCTATGATCTAAGCGCGCTACTTCGATTCACAAACTCAATGCCCACCACATTCACCGTTCTTATTCTTTCTCTAAGCTTAAAAGTACCGCGGCATTGTGACTGTCCAGCACTATAATTTATTTACTCACCTTATATATATGTGCATATATGTATATATATATATATATATATATATATATATATATATATATATATATATATATGTGTGTCTTTAAGATAACTGCTGTGTTATCCATAAATGGCAACATTTCACTTTACCCTAGTTGATGTCCATATTAATACTGCGTTGCTACGTGTGTATTTTCTTCGCAGTAGTCTGCAGTAAACCTCAAGCAGAAACTCTTGTATGCTGATTTCATAGAAATTATGACTAGCTATCTTCTGTTTCTGGCTGGAGGGCGGCTAAATATAGTTTGTACGTATGCACACAGACACACCCACACCTAGTCAGATTACATATATATTGTGTATATATGTTCCGATTTCGGTCAACGACATGATATTAGTTCATCACTTAATTGTCTGGTTTCTTCCAAAGGGATGTTCTATTCCCCCTCTTTTTTTTTTTACCTCTTTTTGCTCTATTCGCGTAATCTTGAAGATTGTAACCGTCGAAAACCTATCTCTCGTCCTAGTGTTGATAATAATGATGTTTTATAAGACGACCAAGAATCGCAGTCATATTGGCTCCAGCAGCGTCATCACTATTATTGCGCTGCGGCTTATTAGGCTGCTATAAGGTAACTATATATATGTATTTCCCTATAACAGTATGATATACTTTTATCATTAGTTGCACCTCGATCAGCGAAACCTTATAGCGGTAGCTTTTTAGTTATCAAACGTTTCATCAAGTTCATAAAACAAATCAGATCTTAAATTCACCGATATATATATATGTATGTAGTTTTTCTTTTTCATTCTAGGAACACTGGTGTTCTGTTTGACACCAGCAGGGATAAACATGTACGTGCTAAGTTGAAGATGTCATTATTTCACTTTTTTTTACGCGTTCCTTTCGGTTTTCTAAATGGCCATTATCGTTTTCGCGTATCTTAATGAACCTCATGAAACAATGACAATAAGCACAGTAACCACCTTCACGAAGAACGTCTTTGATGTATACATCATCAATTCATGATGTTTTTTCAATGTGGACAAGCAACATGGTCAAGGAACTAAACAGTAGCGAAGTGTTCCTCCATAGATATCCTAATCCTAGCAGTAGGTAAGTGAACGACATAGTTCGTCGCTACTCACTACCTATCGGCGTTGATCAATGATTAGTCACAGTCCCTTTAACTTATGGTGACCATTCCTTGAGTCAAGAAACAACGCGTTCATAATATGCGGCTGCCCATATATATCCAAATGAAACCGCCTATCTTGTATAGTAAACACGATAATAGAGCGTTTTACCACGCCAAAGCGAGTACGAGTTGTCAAACTTAAGCAGATAGATTCCCTGTCCAGGGTACGGGTGTTTCCCGACGTACACCTCAAGATGACTGTCCCTACGGTATATGGGAACGATTATTGATGTTGGCGGGCCTTCGGGGTCCTTTGCCTGAAAATAAAACAATGCCATAGACAACGACAAAGTTTCACCACAAACGAAATAACTATTGTTTGAAAGATAATTTATTTGTTGTGGAGAATATATTTCTGTTATGCCTAAATAGAATTTGGTCCAATGACCCACTTTCAATGACGTCAGGCAATTATCAAAAGCGGCGCGCTTTTTTAGTTTTCCTTACTTGCTTGACTGCTTCAACATCATCATTGCCGGGATGCTCTTCTTCTTCTTCGCAAGACTCGTCTTCTGAATCACTGATGTGAACTGAAACCGCACTCCCCGGAGTCTTCGTCCATTCAAAGAATAGCCCAAATCCTAAAGATAGAGAAATACGAAGCAAAGATACAAATGTTAGCTTCATCCTCATGCTTCTCTAACAACACCTAAAACTGAAAATTTTACGTCTATGTTTACCTCTTAGAGCTAATCACTTGTTTTTACTGAGGCCTCCTCGTTCCTCTGATGCAATTATATTTATAGCAAGGATAAGCAATGTAAACATCAAGGAAGTGACAAATCTCTATATTTCAAACTAACGAAAGCTGGTGTTTGTGTAGTGCACTGCAGGAATAATAGTAATAATGATAAGGCTTTATTTGCTCTAACCTCAATTCTCCGGCCGTCAGGCATCAGTGTTTGCTCGGCGCTCTTTTTGATATCCAAGATTTTAAGATCTTACCCAATGCACAAAAACGTTAGCACACGATAAATTGCACGACTGCATGATCCGCACAGATAATTTAGGTCTATTGAAGCAGACCAATCGCGAAGAGGTCTCATTGTACCTAGCAACATTTTGATTGGATAATATCCGGTGACACAGTAAAATAATTTACAGAGTCTGTAGTAACTAGTAACCCTTTGTAAATATCATAAGCGCCTAAGCTTTCTGGTGGGAATTTTGTGCATGCAGAAGTAACCAACACCAGATATATTAGTATATATATAGTATAGATATAGTGCTTTGTCGAAGCGACACCAAATATAGTCGCTTCGACAGAGGACTATATCTATAGTATATATATAGTACAGATATAGTCCTCTGTCGAAGCAACACCAGATCTCGATGCTTCGACAGAAGACTCACCCAAATCAGACAATCAATGAAAAAGAGATTCTGTGTTTGTTGCAGCCAGTCGACTGTATAATTTAGGTGGCCTTTTATAACAACTCTACTACGGTACAACTTATTTTGAAACGGCCTGTTCATAGTCACTGAAACGACTACATCCACAACTAGTGAAGATGTTTAAAGGCATATAAATCATCGTCATCGATGAAGAAGCCAAAGCATTTTTGCCCAAAAGTCATTAGAGCTGAGCCGTTGTTAATACATATCATCTAGTACCACTTTCATAAATTGCTAAATAAGTTATTTTTTTCTATTCCAATTGAAGCATATCAAGTAACTCACCAATATCGTAATGATCTGTGGCAAACTCCCAGAAGATCGAATGTCCGTCATCATGGGTGGGCACACGTACCGTAACCGTCTCACCATGTCCAACCTTGATAATGGAATCACCGCCTTCCTGTCGAATGCACTCCTTAAACTCGACAATATCCCCTCTCGTCCACATAGATAAATCGACAATAGAGACTAGTGAAGACTCGTCTTCATCCGAGTCCTCTGCATCACCACTTCCGGTTTGGCTTTCGGCATGATCGCCACTGCCACCATGATGCACGTGTCCATGCTGGTGTTCATGTGATTGATGCTGATGTAGAAGTGAAGCCCCTTGATCTGGGGTGGATCCTTGGCTGGTTTGATCCGGCTGCCCTCGATCTGACGGTGTCGACATCATAACCTGGTGATGACTCGCGTCATGCGGCGGCCTCGAAATGAGTACCTCAGGTCTGTGCTGATTATTCTGCTGGGAGTCTTCATACAGCTGTAACTCGGTTGAATGTGTAATCACAGTTTTCATTGATTGAGGCGAAACCCCGCCCGAATTCGAATAGCCACATTGAAGGTGATTTGGCGATGACGTGGATAACACTGGTGAAGGAACTGGACCTGAGGTAAGCGCGGTGTTTAGACCCGTCGATGTCGGTTGCGCACGACGGCCATTATTTAACGAAAGGGCAGCTGTCTGTTCTGCTAACGTTTTCATGTACTGAAAATTTTGCAGTCAAAGAAACTTGCTAACTTAACCTACTAGTCAATTGTAATTTATTTCTGGAAAAAGCGCAAAGAAATTTCGGAGATTTTCCGCAAACCTAGACATACTTCTGCTAGTACTGCAATAAATCTTGGTTCAGGTGGGCAGTAACTTTTTACCCAACCATGTCTCTATCAAACAGCTCTCGAAAAAGATTATTAGAGATCGTCGAATGCAACAACCAAATTGAAATGGCACCTGTTTAAAATGTTCCTCTTGAAGTTGAGCAATAATCGTTTTTTGCTGACGTTCATCATTTGGTGCCTGTTGCGCTGCGTAGGTTGAAAACTGCTCGAGAGTTTGCTGATTTAGGACGGCCTTAATCATCGTCTCATTAGGACCAGTCCCGTCGACTGTTCCTAGTAACGGATAATGCGATGGGCTGGATGGCGACGAGTCAGGACTACGAGTATCCCCAGCGGCTCCTGGAGCATGCTCGTTCCTCTGTATGTACACAAAATATAAGCACAGCAATTAAAATTGACTAAAATTATCCTAGTCAATAGCATCCAGCATTGAATACTCAAAAATAGAAAGACAGAGATATTTGACAGCTGCTAGAGTGTCCGGTAGTTATCATCGTGCTACCTTCTTTAGCTGTCTTCGTGATAGCGCAGTGCGTAACGTATCTGTCTGTCAAGTTTAAAGACGGTTTGTGATCTAGGGTCGAATAGGTCAAATGCTAAGGAGGCCAGTCATATGATGTAAAGATTAACGACTTAACTACCGAACTTAAAGAAAATTAAGCTTTAAGGAATTGGTTGTGTGTTAGACTAAAAGAGAACAGGGACGAATATGTAAAAAAATAATTACCATAGCATACGCTTAGTTATACCAATGGAGTTACACAAAAAAAGGCGGGATATCGACATTCTTACCATTTCACTAGTAAAGTTTTAGTAAGTTAGTAAATCTGCAACCACAGTTAAGCACTGTATTAGATAATGAAAATCATCAGATACAGTTTGTGTTGATTACACGCAGGTAACTTTAACCATAATGATTAATGTTTGTCCATATGTAATTCTAAACGAAGACAATCATCAAAGATAATTTAGTATTAAAACCTTTGTCTGTTTGCTGGCTTTGTGTGCGCACACGAATGGCCTAAAGAGTGGACAACGATCATGCAGTAATGCGACAAACTCCTGCTTTGCCGTATGGGCGTTCATATGACCCAATTCCAACCAGGCCTCGCGTCGATCCTGAAATGTTAATATTAAAAAATAATTAAAAAAAAACGACAGCACTTAAGAGATTTGATAACTATTTTTTTTCCGCCTCGGCCTATTGATATTGTTCAATGTTTCAACTGAGATAGATCTAAAAATGCGAATATACATTATTCTCCCAGTGAATAAAGGTCGGACCAAAAATATGTAGGGGGCTGATTCCTGTAATGACTTCGCTGTTTTTTTTCCGAAACTCTCTTGCGTTTAATGCACCTCAAACATGATTCACACCTGTCCTATAAGGTCGAGGTACCCAACAGGCTCACATTTGCCCTCATCATACGGCCCGTGTCGTTCCTGTTGCGTATAGGCAATCAACTTTAATTTATCCTCGTACGACACGTGAAAGGCTTTGCCTTCATTTTGGCTGAAATAACAAGCAGTCAATAAATCGAATGGTTAAGTCATCGTTAACGTTACGGTTGGCTGGGCAAATGTTATTTAAGATACGGGCCCCGCGTCCAGGCTGTCGGCTATTCTAACGGAACACAGATAGTTCCATAATATTGCAATGCAAAGCTGTAGATACTAAACTCTGCTGAGGGTATGTGCCTGTTATTACAAGTGAACAATATGCGACATTTTTATTTCACTGGTCAATATCTAAACCAAATTAAAATATATCAGGCATAATTACACACGATAAACATGCGAATTACGTATTGGTCCGTTATGCTAAACTAACCAATTTAGCAAATACTTAGGCCAAACCAATCGATATCGCTCCTAAGGCTTACTCCGTTGCACGTGTGTCCTTGCAACCCCTGCATGGGCCCCCATAAAAATCGTTTTTCAATCAAATACGTCATATAATGATGATCAGTGGATGATTCTTGTTCGCCCATAATCTTCAGCTAATGCAGACCGCAGCTCGCCACTCCGTGATCTAACAATGGGGAAATTGTAGAGCACGCTACATAGTAAAGCCGCAGTATTACTTGCGTTATTTCCTAAGCTACCTAACCGCACGTTTTCACTATATGGATGGAAAACCGACGCCGGGCGTTAAAACTTTTTGTGTTTTTGAGAAAAACATTTTTGAATGTTTACAGAAGGGGTAGGCACTTGCCTAACCATTTGCATAACCACTGCTGATTCTAACATAACACTGGTTACTGCTATGACGATATAATAGAAGGGTTCGGCATTAGCGCTACAGGAGTCGCTTTTGTCGCCTGATCCCTGCAATCCCACCGCGTCACATAACGTCGTGGCCGAGCTAGTAAACACTGGAACCGTGTGAAAGCGGCCTTGGTTGGCCTTATCGGGCATTTGTCATGTGCCTGGCAAATATTCTGTTGTTCTGAGCACAGGAAGCCTTATTACAGTTGAAAACCAAATCGTCTATGCAAACATTGCATTGATAAACATAATTGCATTTCTATAGGCAAAAAGAGTAACAACTGCTGTGGTGGCTTGAGAAGATAACTGGGTTTTATTGCACTTAGGAGCTGCATGGGCCTATACACAGGTGCAGCAATAACTGTAATCCATCTTGCCAAGCAAACAAAGTTTAGTTGGCTAGTATTTACAGCAACTGGTGGAAGCTAGGTGGCTTTATGTTCGACGCTGAAGGAAAACCACTAGTACGAACTCTCAGGGCACATGTGGACCTATATATTGCTTGACATATGGCTATGTCTGTTACATTTATATATTTTTGTGTTCGTCTAAAAGAAATGCCAATATATTTGACCACTGTCAAGAGTAAATATCATTAAAACATTTAATTTATCCCTTTAACTTTTATAATAAGTCGTGGCGACGTTTTTCTGTGAAGCCCAGTGGGTGGTGCAGTTGTGAATACGCAGAAATGTTAAAGATATAATGTATAATAGTTGTAGATAACGTCTTGAAAGACGCTTAAAATACTATTAGAACGTCTTCCTTTCTAAGCATAAATTAGCTACACTTAGTAATACTCTGTTAATAAAGCAGATCTTGAATTGAACGAAAACATAAATTAAATAACGTGCGACTCTGTGCTCACAAACGGGGTTACATTAAAGTTTTCGCTTATCTACGGTTACTTTACATTCTTATTTACTGTGCGTATGTATATATACTAACCAAAAGAAGCTTCTAGCCATTCGATAGAGTTCGTTCAAATCAAAGCCCCACTCGGCAACAAATTCATCGGATGTCGTAGTCGATGGTGCTATATCTGGTGAAATTGTAAGAGCACTGGCAAAGGTCCCCGGGGCACCATTGTCACTTCCAGAGACTATCGTTGTT